TTGCGCTTATGGATAAGGTTGCTATGCTTGATGATCCTCAATGTGAGCTATTGTTACTTAGGGCATGTACCGGAGTTTCTAAACTCTACTTTGCATTGCGTACTTGTCCTCCTAGTACTTTTGAGACGACTCAGCGCACATTCGACAGGGCTCTTTGATCTTCCTTGGAGCGTATTGTTACTGCGTCGGGGCCTGGGTTTGGCGATTGGCAATGGCGGCTTGCCACCTTACCATTTGCGTTTGGAGGGCTTGGGATATATTCCGCAGGTGATGTTCGTCATTATGCTTTTCTTGCTTCTCGGTTACAGTCTGTTGGGTTGCAGACGCAGCTTTTACGACATGCTGGCATTGTTGGTCTTGGACGAGCCTTTGCAGTTGCGTTGAGTCTGTTTAATGGAATAGTAGAGTCTGACATTATGAGTAATCCTAGTGAGGTCGCTGCCCCTAAACTCATGAAGAAATTGGTAGATATATATTTCACAAAGGTTACCGCTTCTGCAGAATCCGCCTATTCTTTGTCTCCTCGGCAATTAGCATTATGGAAATCGCAGCAGGGAGATGACACCTCTGCTTGGCTTCGGGCAGTCCCTATTTCTGGGTTGGGTCAGACAATGAACCCAAAGACCTACCGATGTGTGTTGTGCTATAGGATGGGTATTCCATTGTTCTCTATCTCGATGTCGTGCTCTGCTTGTTCTCGGGTTTTTACTGGGGATATTTTCGGTGATCACGCGGTATCGTGTGCTGGTATTGTGGGTATTTAACATCGACATAATGTTGTCCGGGATACCCTTGTTGATATCTGCTACAGATCTGGGATTTCAGCAAGAAAGGAGGTTGACATAGGGTTGTCTGGAGGGAATGACGGAGCCCTCAGACCTGCTGATGTGTTACTTTATTCCTGGGATCGTGGTCGCGGTGTTTGTGTGGACTTAACAGGGTCTTCTCCTTTGACACAGACAGGGCTATCTGACTTTGTTCCTGGACGGGTTGTAGCTGATGCGGCTAATCGGAAGCGGGTGAAGTATGAGGCTAGTTGTCGGCTGATTGGATACGGTTTCATTCCCTTCTCCTTTTCTTCACTTGGGGAATTAGAGAAGGAGGCAGTTGCGTTGCTGAAGCGGGTTCAGAGGTTCTCGACGACGCAAGACATCGGGGCTCGTGCTGCAGCTTATATCTTCACTAGGGTAGGCTTTGCTATAGCTAGAGGAGTGGGGGCCCAGATTGTATCTCGACTTCCCACTAATTTATTGTAGGTTGTATGACTTTGTCTGTTTTTGAGATAATAATAATAATAATAATAATAATAATAATAATAATAATAATAATAATAATAATAATAATAATAATAATAATAATAATAATAATAATAATAATAATAATAATAATAATAATAATAATAATATCTTCACTAGGGTAGGCTTTGCTATAGCTAAAGGAGTGGGGGTCCAGTTTGTATCTCGGCTTCCCACTAATTTATTGTAAGTTGTATGACTTTGTCTGTTTTTGAGATGATAATAATAATAATAATAATAATAATAATAATAATAATAATAATAATAATAATAATAATGAAATTTGCTCTACTCTACCGAAATCTGCTTTACTCTGCTGACTCCTGCTCCGCTCTACCTAGAAGCTCAAAAGAACAGGACCTTAGTATTCAATTGGTTCAATTCTAAACTTGTATGGACTAATGCTTGTAATTTTATGCCTACTAATGTTCACATGATCCATTATATTTACAAAACCTGTGACATATTACTTAATTTATAATGTTTTACAAAATATTGAGTAATACACAAGATTTATTGTGAAAGGCGCAACCTAAACTCATATATTAAATATATTATGTAGTAATTTAATAAGCTTTATGATTTTTTTATGAAAAAATTTTTAAAAAAAATAAACTCATACTCTTTTCTTTCTTTTTTTTTAAAAAAAAAAAAAATTGAAAAATTATGTAATTTTTTTTTTTTTTTAATTTTATCTTTGTTGATAGAGAAAGATATAAAGTTTATCTTAAATATCTATCAAGATAGGTTAGTTATTTAAGCTCCCTTAAAGGGTTTTTTCAAAGAACAAAAAAAAAAAAAGATAGATTAGTTATTTCCTAAAATAAATAAATAAATGATAAGTTAGTTATAGTACGTATTAGCCGACTCCCTCCTATTATATAAACTATTCAAATGTCTTAATTAATTCTCATCATAATTCATAAAACACAATTCTACGTAGCAATCCCTATTCTTTCTCTTTGTTTTACATGTTCTCTAATTAATTAAGAGTAAAAAGAGTATTGATCCTTGATTAGTGAATGAACATGTCTAAACTACCACCCGGCTATCGTTTCAATCCCAAAGACGATGAGCTGATTCACCATTATCTTGTCCTAGGATGCCTCTTGTTAATAATATTTTCGGCGAAAATGCTGATCATCCGTCAACTGTGTTCGACTCTTTCGAAGAATCTGACCGTGAAGAAGAGGACACAGTCCGGTATTTCTTTACTATCCCCAAGAATGTGTCGTCTGGTGACAGAGATTGTAATCGTGTTAAGAATAGAATACGAACGGCGGGTAGATTTGGTACTTGGAAACTTCAAAGAAGTGATCCGGTTGTTGCCAAGAATACCTGTACTGGCGAAGAGGAAGTCATTGGACTTCGAAACCTGTTGAAGTTCATGGAGTTGAATTTGAATGGAGTATGCATGAGTTTACGAGTAATGTTTTGGAGGAGAACATTAATAATGTCTCCACAATTAGACAAAAAAGACTACGTGTTAGTGTTGGTAATACTACTAACAACGATAATGTTGTTCAAGAAAACAAAAGGCAACACATAAACTTGGTACCGCCGGTGAATGAACAAGGACTTTCTTATGCCGAAATCTTTTAACCAACAAGGTGTTCCCGTTGATGGCAGTACAACTAATAATAATGATGTGGTGCTTCCACAACATGATGAACAAGAAAATCATGTATAAGAAGGCGGCAGTGATCAAATGCAACAAGCAGGTTTCGTAGATAATGAGCATTTAGGTTGTGGCGATGACGTGTTATCAATACAGGATTATTTGTGTGGTTCTGACTTTGATCTTGCACCGGAGTTTGCAAAGTGGTCTGGTCAAGTACATAATAATCAAGTTGTATGCGGCGATTATCAAATGCAACAAGGATGACCAATTAGGTTTTGGCGATAAATTGTTTTCAATACAAGAGTTGTTTGGTTTAGATTTTGATCTTGAAGCGGAGTTAGCATAGTATGGTCAAGGAGATAATAATGAACTTGTATACGGGGGTGATCTAAAGCTAGAAGGTCCCGTAGACGACGAATTAGGTTTTGTTAATGACATGATTTCAATAGAAGAGTTGTTTGATTCAGATTTTGATATTGATGCGTAGTTAGCAAAGTATGGTCAAGGAGATAACAATGAAGTTGTATGCGGGGGTGATCTAATGCAAGGTTGTCACGTAGACGACGAATTAGGTTTTGGTAATGACATGATTTCAATAAAAGATAGCAAAGTATGGTTAAGGAGTTATATTGGCAAACCAATTGGAATTTCAACAATAAATTACTGTGAATGAACTAGGGTTTTTTTAATCATGTATTTTCCAAATTTTTAGTTGAGATTTTACATTTTCTTAGAACTACACATGTGAATTAATATTAATCTGTGATATATGAATTATTCAAAATAGGGTTTGTCCTTAATTTGTTACTTTTCTGTCCCTTTTATTTTATATTTTAGTCTTGATCGTTAATAATGTTTAACAAAAGCATAGTCGGCTTAATATACTAGATTACTAGTATGAGTTGAAAATTAGATAATACACCCGGGTGCACCATGCTCATGGTGCACCCGGGTAAACAAAAAAAAGGCGGAAAGAACATATAGTGTTTGATAAAGAACATACCTATGTTTGACAAAGAACATACCTTTAATATGTTTTTTGAGTGTGATCAGTGTGTTCTTTGAGTAAAATTATATGTTCTTTATATTATAACTTATGTTATTTAACATATGTTGATAAACATATATTTTTTTTGGGTTTAATAATACAAAGTATGTTCTTTGAATTTGGCGTGTATGTTCTTTAAGGTCGTAGTGACTCCCAAATTCTATTTTTTATTATCATATGTCATATTTAAATTACTTTTATTATCGTATATTCTTTGAGTTTGATTAGTGTGTTATTTAGGTATTAACTATATGTACTTTACAATATAAATTATGTTCTTTTAACATATGGTATTTTGAAATTTGATATTGAAATCTTAAATTATTTTTAATTGAAAATAATGTTAGAGTAAAAAAAAAAACTAAATTATTATGGGAAGTTGAATTTTTTTTGGAGAGATAGAAAACTATTTTTTGGGGAATGATATCTTTGGTAAGGATTTTTTAAGAGGTGATCAACATTGGCATGACTCGCATCCCGACCCGATCCGGCCCGAAATAGGGTGGGTTTGGGCAAACCTAAAAATACATTATTAGTTAAAACTCGAACCGGGTTCGAAAAAAGCCCAAAAACCCGCTACTTTTCTACGGGTTTGGGCACGAGAAATTATGATATGGCCCGGCCCTACTCGATTTTTTATCACCTCTAAATTTTTCCCGTTAATAATGTGTAATTTTTCAGAAAATTTTATCAAGTTTTTATCTCGTTCTTTTTATTATATCTTTGTGTTCTTTGGTAATGCATGTTTTTGTCAAATACAAACATGTTCTTTGTCAAATACATGTATGTTCTTTATGAAACACAGGATGTTCTTTCCGCCTTTTTTTTATTTATCCGGGTGTACGATGAGCACTGTACACCCGTGTGTATAAACCACGGATTAGTATGAGTTGTATCTAATTTTTTTGGTTGCAGTCAAACATTGTCGCAAGTATATTGTGTCTTCAGTAGCAAGTTATTATTCTTTGAATTGTATTTTTTTTCCAAAAAAAAAAAAAAATTGTAGATTCGAATGAATAATGAAAATAAAATAGTATGATTCAAATGATTCCAATAAAAAATGTTGATTCGAATGAAAATACTAGTAAAAAAAATAGTATGATTCCAATGAAAATAAAATTTCTATTTGAAATCTGTTAAAAAAAAACAAGACAAGAAAAATCATTGCTACTCTAGATTAGTTTGGTAAAGTTTCAAGCTTTGAGCCAAGGGAATACTTTCGGAGATGTAGGTAATTGTCCCGTCAGAACTTCAACTCCAGTTTCCGTCACCTGCATCATAACAAATTCAGGGAATATATATCAGCCAGTATTTTGTAGGCTTTTAGCTTTTAACAACTTCCAACTTTCCAAGTTTGCGTAAAAGTTGAAGGGTATACTAAAGTTTACAAGAGATTCATGTTGAGGGCAATGCAATGAAATCGTAAGACTAATTTTAAAAATGCGAAGGCAGATTTTAAATTTTCTTAAAAATTGCATGATGTCAATACAATGAATCGAATACAGAGAAAGCAGTATGATTTGACAAGAAAAAATAACCCCTCGAATCAGATAAAAATTCACAGGGTACTTTTAAGAATAACAGATGAAAGAAATATAGCATGGTCCATGCATGGTCATAATACATACCAGTAAAGTATGCTCAAACTGAGCACTGCGCTTCCCATCTGCAGTAACAGCAGTCCAACCATCGGGCCACATTCTGTCACGCCACACCCCTAAAAGAAAAAGTGGATAAATGTTTTTATCTTGACAATGAAAGCTAGCATAACCATTAATCATACATAAAAAGAGATTAGAGAAGCAATAAACAGATGGTTGCATTAAAGTACCTGCATTAATCATTGGTTCTATCGTAAAGGTCTGTCCAGCCTTCATCACACCAACAGCTTTATTTCCTGCTTTCGTTAAGGAAGTCAATTGTAAATGCTGCAATAAAGTTTTTTCTACAGTAACCCAGCTGAACAGAAAAGATCAATATTGCATAAGATTATAGTAAATTACGGAATACATAATTAACAGACTGCTTGGTAATTATTCAAGGATACTTGCATAATGAGGAATATTTGGAGCACAGTGGAAAAGCTCTCCAACTCCATGACCACAGTACGACTTAACCTGTATTTGTCATGATAGAAGAAACACATTAGTTATTGATTAGATCACTGAACTAGCAATTAAGACTAAACGTACTAGTTTTGGTAGGCACATACCACAGAGAACCCTGACATAGAAGCATGTCGATTTATGACCTCTCCAACTTCTCGAAATCTCATGCCAGGCTTCACTAAAAGCAACAACAGCAGAGAAATGTAAACATAAATTCCAAAGAGTGCCTTAATAATCAAGATGTGAGTGCAAAGATTTGTTGGATGCTTTATTTTAGATTAACAAAAAATGAAGCCTACCTAATCCCCCCCTCTGATCAGCAAAAGAGGACTATAATAAAGAGGGTGAGAACTTAGATGGCAATAGTAGTCTAATTTCATCTCATAATTGACATTACTTTCCAAATTGCGGTGGAAAGAATGGGCTTAACATGCAAAAGAATAAAATAGTCAGTTACAATTGTCAGTTGCTACTGCACTCTTGTCATGTTGTTGGCTTAGATGCTATCTCGATGCTGGATATGTTTAATTTCAGCTTTCAAGGGACTTGATAATATAATTAGGCAGAGAAAATTGTAAAGTTGGGTTCTTTATATCCTTCCTATATTTAAATCTGTTCTCCTTAGGATGAGATCTTGTACCACTCAAAATAACCTGAACAGATAAAAGAGGATATAATCTCCTAGTTTTACACAGAAATAAGGTCAATGAAAAGCAATCTCTGGATATTAGTTGAAAATCCAATTTTCAAAAGTTTATAAATTTCGTTAAAAGAGTGTTAGTTACTAGTACTTTATCTGAGAAATTAACGGTCAAGAATTTTATTTTAAGAGTAAAGGCGCAACTTGTTATGTTATTGCATGGGTTCTAAATAATTTTTTTAAGACACGTGCTCTATGCACTCAGCACTAACCTATAGAAATTGCTTTCTCCAGGCATTCATATGTACACTGGACCAACTTTTGTGATGCTTCATCAACATTTCCAACAAAATAGGTCTCATTCAGATCACCTGCAAATGATTCAAACAGGCAGCATTCAGCACACCAACCCCCAGTGAACTTGTTGAATCACAAGTTAAACAGCGCACAAGGAACATAATTCTTACCATGAACTCCTTTGTAGTAAACAGTGACATCAACGTTTACAATATCACCATCTTCTAATACTCTGAAACAACGAGTTCAACAGCCATTATTAAAGCACTTAAAACTGACATATAACCATTTGCGGATCAAATAAAATGGTGGCTATTACATAGCAAGAACAGAAATATGTTATCAAACATAATCACCCCCAAGAAATCAAGATGAATGATATGCAACTTCAAGCTTTTATGTCAAAGACTACAAGTAACACTTTTCAAATAAGTTATATAATTGCAGTTAAGTGGAGTAATTTATCTTTACGTCTTTCTATCTTTTTCTTTGGAGGGAGTGGAGAAGGGTGAAATGAAATGGGGTGAGGGAAGTTAATAGAGTAAGAAAGTCCACTAAGTTGCCAACACCAGACGTTATTCTACACCAGTAGCCAAAAAAGAAAAAAAGAAAAGCTACCAAGCAAAGGCATAAAGTCATAGATGAAGTCTGATTTAAAAGAACTCGGACACTGAGGACATACCTGGCATCAGGTATCCCATGGCAAATGACTTCATTGACAGACCTACAAAGAGCAAACAAAATTCCATATAAGTTACAGGTATCACAAACACAATCAAGTTCCAAGAAAATTAACATGTAAAAGTACCTACGTGCAGCAGGATTTCGGAAAGAAATGATAATTTAATGGAGAAGGATAACCTCCTGCATCCATAAAAAAAAAAAAAAAAAAAAAAAAAAAAAAAAAAGGTAGTTATATAACCATGAGATGCATTGATGAATAATATATGATTCTCTTGCATTAATACATACTCAAAGCTTCATAAGAAATAAATACGATGTTGGTCAGAAAAAATGGTATCAAATTTCAAGCACTGTATGTCTGTATCCCATCAAGCAAATCTCCTTAACTTTTAAAGGATTTTCTTGTCAAAATTCAAAAAAAAAAAAAACAGAAACTTAAAGCAGGAATTTCAAAACATTTTTCCCCCAAATTGCATGTTTAGTAAGTGAAACTGAAATATTACAAGACTTCTTTTTCCTGAGAAAACTCATAAAGCTAAAAAAAAAAAAAAAAACAGATTTAGGTGGAGAGTTGAACGCAAAATTTAAAAAAGTCAAAGGACAACTTATTTAATTCGTGTCATAAATCAACACAAACCTGCAGCTACAGTAGCTTCATGGACTGCTCGATCAATCTCATCTGTCGTAATGCCTGGTCTAATAATACGCGCAGCCGCATCCAAAACCTCCCTAGCAATCTGGAGACAGCCATTGTCAGAGTTCAATTTAGCAAATCAAATGGAAAAGGGCAAGAAAGTATCGGTAAGCTGATTGTAGATAACATCAAGACCTAACCGAGACTCCCTACCAAAGGTGAACAATCAGTTCACAAATGCTAGCTAATCGAGAGGATAGTAACGTCTTACACTATTCCACAGACAATCAACTATCCAAAACCCCTACCCCACCCCCACTGGAAGGTGGTAGTAAACAATACACAAGGCATCTAGGATGAAAACCATTCTTCAAGGGTAAGCTTATATATACAAATGTCACATGAAATAGGCTTGCAAAACCACTAATGACACAGTTGATTTAGAATAGTGAACCAAATGCAGTTTCACTAAGATCAATGTTAGATGTAAACTTATCATTCTCCAGTAAGGTTACCCACACGTGATTATACAGCTGCTTAGAACCAAATCCACTCTAGTCTATAGTTTTCATAAGATATCAAAAGCTAACACTAAAAATTAGTAATTAGACTCGTATCAAACATATCTTCCATCTAAGAAGATGCTTTGTATGAAACAAAAGAGATTAAATGCTTTGCATCATCACAAAGACAACCTCATGGGATTTTCAGTTTATAAGCACTACAAAATACTCACAGATATGGAGCACTCTATAAAAAGTGAAAAATTCAGGAAACAAGATGTTCACAGTAACAAACAAAAGTTATATTTAAACTAAGCAGCACTCTATAAAAAGCGAAAAATTTCTCAGTACTTAATAATAAAAACCTAAATTAACAAAATGAACTTACCTTGCAAGTCTCCCTCATTCTCTGTATCAGCTCTGGAGTTTTAATCTTCAAAATAACAAGTCAATAAGAAAACAGAAAGGGATAATAATAAAAAAAAAAGTTCATATACGACTGGACAATTAATCTCTATGAGTCTACCCAAGTATGAGGAGTAAAGTATTGAAGCATACCTCGACAATGTGCTGCAGGTTGCTCTCAGGCTCAATCTTGGGGATACCCTATATGTATTAAAAGCATCTCATAAAGACTTCATAAGTTGCAGATTCATAAATATCAGAGTTCATATAAAGGAAATCAGGTATCTCCAAGGGGTCATCATTGTCTCATCGCCTGTAACTGTCTGGAAATCAACATTCAAGGGAAATACACTTGCTGACAATAGAATGAAAAAACTTACATCCACAGCCCAATCAGGTAGCTCAATGTGCTTTGGTACAGTACGGTAACTTGATATGGGGTACGGCCGTAATGATCTACACGGGAAAAGGTTGCAGTTCAGTAAAGGTCAAAAATATGAGATGTCAACACCAAGATGCGTGTTTTCATTCATAACCGCAGTAACAGTAAATCATAGTATAAACATATAAAAAAAAATAAGTACGTAAAAAGAAGGGCTGTTATCAGAAATGTATCCACAAAAGAGTAATGTTGACGTGATACCCTGTCCAATCGAAATACGGAAGTTTTGAAGTCCGAGATTGTCCTTTTCGTAAGCAATAAAGCCAACCTTCACTATTTTTGTCCCCAGAAGCATCAATCTGTAAAGAAGATGTACTTGCCTTTGAATGCACCGATTTATGAGAGCTCCAAGATTCCTTGAAACACTCCTGGGAACTAAAATAGGTAAAAGTTTGTCAATCAACAGGCTAAAAATAAATAGAAAAACATGATTATGTATCAGCCATTGTATCTATGCACCCTTGAAAGCACGGATGCCAGAAAGTCAGTAATGGCAGGAACACCCTTCTCAAAGTAATATCCCCGCCCCTCAAGCCCCACCACCCTCTCATTCTCCAAAGTCTTGAAGAATTATACTCCGTAATAGATAAGGCCTAGAGAACTAAAGAGTGCAATGACATAATTAAAGCTTCCAAGTAGAATATAATTACAAATTCACAAACAAAGCCCATGTGAATTTTGACTACGTTATAGTTGCCAAAAACAAAAAAAAAAAAAAAAAAGAAAGAAAGAAAGATAGATAATTACCAGAAAGCAGCACCTTCCTTTGGGAGCTTCAATTGTACACACTTTGGACACCTGCAAAAATTAAATCATACGAGTTGAATTGAGCTCATATACTTTAAACTCGTTTGTTGAATAATCTCGTGAAATCTAGAGTATACCACAAAATTGACACAAGCAGATCTGGAATGCATGTTATTTACTCATTGATCATAACATAAGTATTTTAACTTCATAGGTATGTTTTTGCTGTCATGCACAATACAATGTTGGTATTCCCCATTCACAATCCCAAATAAGCATTACAAGATCACCTTCCTTACAAAAAATTAATTAGTAGGCTTGTCCACAATATCTTTCGGCCTCAATAATTGTATTATTAATAATTTACTACTTCGTATTACAAAAAAAATATGAATTAATTAAATGAAATTGTTTTATTATACTTATAGGTACTTCATAATTCATTCCCTTAATCCTCTAGTCTTCTCTCCATCCCCGCCTGCCTCCCTCCCTAGTCGATTCCATATCCTCATCCCACCCTTCTATCCCTATCCTCGTACCAAATGCCCCCGTAAAGTAAGTAAGATGGAGTATAAGTTAATGAAAGAGTCCCCTACTCCAATTCACAAAACTGTCTTTTACAATAAATTAAAACTCAAACAAACCTTAACCAGAAAAAAGAAAAAAATATTCTACAAATTAATGTTAAAACCAATGTAAAGTAAAATGTGGCGCATTCAATTAATCAAGAAGCCAACAAAAAAATCAAAATTTTAAATAAAATTTAAAAAAAAAAAAAAAAAAAAAAAAAAAAAAATTACATACTGAAGATGAGCAGGTTTGGAGCATCGAGAACACAATAAAGCCGATTCCTTTGCTTCCGACCCATCATTCGCCATTGTTTTTTGACTGTCAAAATTTAATTAAGATTGAATTAGACCGATTAAATAAGCACCCAGAAAACTAACACGAAATCATAAGATATATCATACACAAATTTTATTTTTTTCCCTGGGTATACCTGATGTTAAATTGAATTGAAATTTGATATAGTATAAAAAGAGAATAAATTGAAGTATATTGAAAAATGGGGAGTGGAGAAAATAGGGAGGAGAGAGAATGAGGGATGATTAGGGTTGAAGCAGTCAAGTCAAGGTTGGCGGGGAGGAAGATGAAAAGAAAGATTAACTGTAAATATACGAGAATTTTTTTTTTTTTGTTCTTTTTTTTTTTTTTTTTTTAACTGTGGAATTAAAATTTAGTTGAACCTTTTTTTTTTTTGACAGTATTGGTTAAACGTTAGACCATATACATAGGTGAGACTCAACTTTTAGTATTGAAATACAAAATGAGTTGTTTTTTACCTCCAATGTATTTGATACCCAACTCATTTCTCAATTTAGTAACTCAGGTGAAATCTAATTTTCTAACGGTGAAACACTCTATAGTATACTAATTGTAAGTTTTTAAAAAAAAAAATAATTCAAAACTTAAATAAATTACAAAATATATTATAATATTGATAAGGGCCTACACTTTTTGTCAAATGAGACTCAAAATTGAATATATAAATTTAGCAACTTTATTTTGGAGTTGCTAAGTTTATATACCAACTTATTGATATACTTTGTAAAAAATACTCTCTCTCTCCAAAAAAAAAAAAAAACTCTCTCAAGTTTTACCATTGGAGATGGTCTTACATCAGGTAAGTTTTGGTTTTGTTTTTTTTTTTTTTCCCTTAAGGATTAGATCAGGTAAGTACTTGTGGATGAGTTGTAAAACTATAAAGTAAGGCCCTGTTCTTTTGAGCTTCTGGGCATAATAGAGTAGATTTCAGAATTATTATTATTATTATTATTATTATTATTATTATTATTATTATTATTATCATTAATTATTATTATTATTACTATTATTATTATTACTGTTATTTTTAATATTATTATTGTTGTTGTTGTTGTTGTTGTTGTTGTTATTAGGAAAAATTGCATTAAATAATACCACCTTTCACCATCCGCTAAAAACAAGTCGACCTTTTGATTATCTCTAAATAATATCACTTTTAGGGGGTGTCCGCTTTAAACAAGTTGTAACCTGTTGGTAACCTGATTAATAGGTTATATGGACACGTGTCATCATTTTATTGGTTTGAAAATATAATTTTTTTAATTAAAAAAATTAATAAAAAAAAACCCCAATCCCGTAATTCCTCCCTTTCCCCTTTCCCGTTATGTCATCCCTCCCATCCCCGTCCCCATTCTGCCATCCCCTTCCCTCCTCTTTCCTTTTTCCTGCCCTTTCCCCTTTCCTGCTGCCCTTCCCCCTCCATGAATCTCGACAATGTTGATTATTTAGAGTATCGTAGTGGAGCGTCCACGCAAGGTTGGTGTGGCCCACTACAAAAGCGCGTCAAAATCACGCCAAGTTTTTGAAAATTTGCAGAATTTTGGCAGAATAGGGGAGGCGCGCCCGCGCGACCTAGTGGCGCGCCCGCGCTGCTTCCCTGGTCTACGGTTTTTGCGGTTATTTTCTTTTTAATTAAAAGGAGTGTTCGTTTTCCTAAATGAACATAGACAGATTTCTAAAGGAAACTTGCAATCTCTTCTAGAAATCCTCTATCAATTAAGTTTAATTTTTGAGAATTTGATCATCTTACTACAATTCTAGTGCAAAGATTGTAGTGTTTGTCTATTGTATCTCAAAGTGACTTTTCGGTTTGAACCCAAGCACCGTGGTGGGGGAAATAATCACTTTAGAAAAGTGTTTACACGCCTTAGACAAGTATCCGATATTGAAGACTCACGTGGTCCTTGGTATTCTCATGTTCTTGTTGGATTCATTGGCTTGGAGTGAGGCAAGTGTAGAATCTTTCACATTAGTGTTTTACTTTTGTAATTTCTGAATTGCATTGTTTTTTTAGTGGTTGGTTTTTATTACTATAATTAGTATTTGGTTGTTGTATAATTTGATTGAAAATATACACTGTGTAGGTTTTGTTCCCGCAATCTTTAAGTAATTCTTAATTTGTTGAATTGCTGTAAAACCTAACAGACAATCCCCACCAATGAAACCCTGCCATCGTTCCCCACCACAGCTAGCCCCCTCCCCGCCCCTTACCCCGTCGGCCACCGTCAATAACTCCCCCACCATCGAAATCACCACCCCTCCCACCCCCACCACCGAAATCACCATCCCCTCCACCTTTACCCCTGAAATCCCCAACGAATCCACCACCCTCACCGTTGAAATCCTCACCAAAATTCCCACCAGAATCGGCCCCCCGGCAGCTTCCTCGCAGCCGTCTCCACATACCACGATCACCACTCACCTTTTCCCACATCTCCGGCCACCACTTACAACAACAATTTGTGCTGAGGCTAAACCCAGAAGACCCACTCCCTCCCTTGAAATCGATGTAGCTTGGTGGTTTCGTGATGTGGGTGGGTAAGTTAGATGGTGGTTGTGGTTTTGTGGTGTGGGTGGGTTAGTTGGTTTTGTGGTGGTTTGATTGGTGGTTTCGTGGTGGGGTGGGTTGCTGGTTTTGTGAAGGGGGTAGGCTAGACTGGTGGTTAAGTGGTGGAGTGGCAGTGGATGTTAGTTTTGGGTGGAAAGATAGGGGCGAAGGGCGGTGTTTATTAGTTGAAGGGTGGAAGGAAGGGCAGCAGGGGGATGGGAGGGAAGGGGAAGAGCGACAGGTGGCTGGGAGGGAAGAGGAGCGGTGGCTGGCCGGGGAAGAAGGAGGAGAGAGAAAGGTTTTATTTATTTATTTATTTTACCTTTATTTTGATTTTGTTTTTTTAATTGTTTTTTTATTTTGTTTTTTGATTTAATTATTAATAAATCATAATTAATATTATTATTAAGAGTTAATTACATTGTTAAATGTATTTATTAAAAAGAAAAAAAAATTAACCAGTTACTCAGGTTGTAGGTAAAATAACTTGTTTAAAGCAGACACCCCCCAAAGGTGGTATTATTTAGAGATAATCAAAAGGTCGACTTATTTTTAGTGGACGAGTGAAAGGTGGTATTATTTAATGCAATTTTTCCTTATTATTATTGTTAGTAATAGTATTATTATTATTTGATTTTTTTTAGTTTTTTTTACTCTTTTTATAAAATAAAAAAATGTGTTAAATAATATAAAATATTAATTATCATCATTAAATATTAGTTATTATTATCAATTAATATTATATATTAATTATTATTATTATAAAATATTAATTATTATTATTATTAAATATTAGTTATTATTATATATAAATATTAGTTATTTATTATTATTAAATATTAATAATAATTATTATTATTTTTATTAAATATTAATTATTATTTTTAATTAGAGCAGAGCGGAATAGGGCATGGTAGAGCAGAGCAGAGCAGCTCAAAAGAACAGGGCCTAAGCCTGTTTTTTTAGTGGATAAAAAAAAATGAAGTACTTGTAGGTAGGTAATACTTAAAAGTCAGTTAAAAAATCATTGTGAAACAGATTGAGTATCAATTTAATAATTTTGTCAATATTGAATATTATGCCATTATATACCCCTGTTGGTTGAAGTTAATGTCAGATTATTATATTTATTAAAAAAAAAAAAAAACGGAGATTGCATTAAATTATTTCACCAAACAACCTAAATAATTTCTCTTCAATAACTCAACATCATAAAGAGTTGCTTAAATGAGAAGACTTGATTTGTATTGTTTTACACATATTGGTAATCTTTTTTATTAATCATATTCTCTTCTAAATTATACATTTATATTTGTGAATTGTTTGTCATATGTCACTTGGTTATCGTCTACTTTTGTAGTCTATTAATCAAGTTTACCTGTAATTTGTAATTAGGGCTTCAATATTATATGGGAAAAGTGTAATTTCATTGTTTTTTTTTTCTAGTATTTACTATCTTTACTATTCATTTTTTTAGTATTTCATCCAAAATGACATTTCTAGCAAATAGGGCTGTACGCGGTTTGATTTGGTGCGGTTTGGGGTGAATTTTTCCAAAATCGCACCAAACTGTAATTTAAATTGCGGTTTGGTGCGGTGCGATTTGTGATTTAACCGTAATTTTTCAAAGAAAAAAAAACCTTGCTCAAATTTATTTAACTGAACAACAAGTTATCAGCTAGGCAATAACAAACAACAATCAACAATATAGCTTTCATCTAATCTAAATGTCTAATAAAGTATAACCATACAACCATACATAAAGTTTGTCACCAAACCATCTGTAAATGCTCCAAAATCTTACGTTTCTACCATGTACGTAGTATATCATTGTATTATATATAAATGTGGTTTATATATGCGGTTTGCGATTTAAACCATACACCGTAAAATTGTGGTTTGCGGTTTGGTTTGGTTTTATATTTTGGAAACCCAAACCAAACCACAATAATACAGTTTGGAAAAAATAAAAACTAAACCGTAAATTTCAAACCGCAAATCAGACCTAACCGCAAGATTGCGATTTGGTTTGTGGTTTGGTGCGGTCTAAACTGTACTCTGTATAGTCCTACAAGCAAATACCAATTTTTTACTTAATTAATTTGTGAAAGGTAATGTACATTTATTTCAAAATTTCGAATTGTTTATTGATTTACCGATAAACTTTTATTATATCCCCTTCAATAAACACAAGACTTTTAATCAATAGACTATTTCGTAATAAGATTGATTAATTAAATATTGTAGGATCAAAATATACTACATACCATTTTTCTTTTTTTTCTTTTTTTTTTTTTGGAAGAACAAAATATACCATCTTAAATTTGAATGATTTTCAAGGCAATTAATTCAATCCCCCTCTTTATTACAAGTATTACCTAAACCTTGTTCAATCAAGCAAGGCCTTGGTTGCTCAAGCTTCCCAATTCACATTTCTCCTCACAAGCCCCATCACTACTCACTAGTGTCTGGTGTACTCACTACCAATCTCTCTCTGAGTCTCTTGTCCATCATCATCGCCGCCGCTAATTTCGTTTCCTCCGTCGTTAATTCCGCCCCTTTTTTTTTCTCTATCTTGCTACATTCTCAATTCAGTTTCCTTGAAGAAAATTATATGGGTTTTGCTAATTAGATGATCAAAACTGCTTTTCCGAGCCTTCAATCGAATTGGGTTTCATCATTTTTCGATTGGTAAGCAACCGATTTCGCTTCAATGCTATACGAAGTATCATGTTGAATTCCAGTTTTTTTTATATGATTAATTTTCAATTTATGTTAGTTTTTATTTGTGGGGATTTACTAGAGACATGAAATTGAATGTGTGGAAGGCTGGAAGCATTTGTTCATATTATAAAGTTTTACTCTTTGATAAATTTCTGCAAATTTTGTTCATATGAGATAATTAGCTAACTAGTTGAACTTATTTATTTTTGCTAATTTTTCTGGTTCACATCTTATTTTGCAAAATAATGCTTGTATTTTTTTTTGAAGAATTTGGATATTGTGCATACTATATTACTATCAGTAGATAATGCCCTTTTCTGATGTGTTGAGACAGAATGCTATATTGGTGCTAGACTGTTGTTTGGGAGATTGATAATTTGCCAAAAATTGTTTTGTAAAATTGACATATTGTAAATTTGACTCATAGAGTGGATGGTGAATTGCACGGGTCTCCATGATACTCACATTTGGAACTAGATTCCGCCAATGTGCGATAAATGTGATTCCGACGTCCACAAAGATTTCAAACTTAAGGTTTTCGATCAGAATCCTTGTTGCTTCACTTCAGAATGTGGCATTATCCCATGGAAATGGGGGTCATTTTGGACTATCTTTTATACAAGTAAAGGAGCTCAGTAAAATTGATAGTTGCAAGTAAGTTATTGCTGATTTTGCTGTCACTTTTGCTTTGTGTCAAGTAATTTTTTTTGGATGTAATTTGATATATTAGTTTGTCTTTGTATTTGAGTTATTCTTGGCATCATGCACCAAGTCATGTTCTTGTTTCTGTATAAAATTGTGTCATCATAATATGTAAGAGATAAGAGAACAATTGATCTAGATATTACTATTGCTTGCTTTTTCCATTGAACTGAGTTCTTACTCCTCTTCCACCATGGCTTTATTGTTTGTAAGGAAGAATTGAGACCAGGGCCTTGAGGGTGTAGAACATTGGGATCAGAAGACCATATCTTGTTAACTAAGAACTTGATAATTATGTCTGTGATGAACACTTTCGGATTGAAGGAGCAACTACGAGTTGAGATATTAATAATCATGTCTGTGATGGAATGTTCGATAAATGTCCAGCATTAGATCATAGTGCAGTGCAAGGTTCATAACCAGAATTGTGAACATGCACTATTACAAGATCAGAAGAGTCGGCTCTAAGCTAAAGTGACTACTGAAGTTCTAGTTTATCATATCATTGTATTGTAAAGTTACGTCTGCTTTCATTATACCTTATTTTAAAAAAAATTGTTTGCAGGATAATGGACTGGTCCATTAAGAGCAGTGCAGATGGCAAAGGATTGGACCCTCTCACCGGCAGTGGTGATGGAAGAACTCGATTACTTAAAACAATTCAGAGTCTTCAGATTAAATTAAATGCACGAATTCGAGATTTCCGGAAAGATCTTCCTAAGAAATTTCTTTTTTTCTTGGTGGGTTTCTATTGCGCAACTGCTTTTGCTACAGTAATTGGGCAAACAGGTGATTGGGACATTATGTCTGCTGCTGTGGCTGTTGCTGTGGTGGAGGGTATTGGGGCTCTTATGTACAAAGCTTCTGCACCTTTGCTTGACAGGAGCAGGAACCTTATAGTTCTTTTTAATTACTGGAAATCTGGCCTTACATTGGGTCTTTTCTTGGATTCATTCAAGTATGAAATAAGTTGGGAATGATTGTTCTTGTATTTTCCATACTAGACTTCCCACATTTTAATTACTTTTGAGCCTTATTTTCAGGTATTAAGGTATCACGAGTCAACTCCTTTTGAAGATAGGAAATTGAATTACTATGAAATGAAGCAGTTTAAGACGTAGCCAGAATGTACATTGGTGTTGACAAAAGGGTAAGGCCTCTAGACATCCCACTTCAATTATGATAAATTGATGGAACAAAACAAAGCAAAAGTTAGTAGGCTTGGAATAGACAAAAAGGGCTCTATGACAGGGTCTAACATTACATGATCACATTGTAGTTGCAATTCATTATTTTAATATTGGAGTATATACCTAAGCAGCTAAGCTTCTAGGAAATGATTCTAATGTAATATTGATTGCCATGAATTTATTGAATCGTAAATTTGATTCCGTGAACGATGATGAATGAGTCTCTTAGCTATTCACTGAACAGGTCAATTCATAGTTTTTATAATATCTAATATATTTCCATGTTGCCCATTGGCTCTATTATTGTGACTGAAACTTCCCTTCTTTGCATCTTTGGTGAAATATTTGTACCATTATATCCTCTAGGCACTCTAATAACAATGTTAACATCATAAGAATATTAGATACTGGTGGTGTTCTGAGGGTTTAATGGTTTTCTGTTTTGCAGGTTTTTATGAAGTTGTTCTGGGAAGAGAAATGTATGTCAATTACTCAATTGCTACTTATGAAGAATATAGTGGATTCACATACAATTATACAGCACCTGTTGTTTTTTTGTTTTTTTAATATTTTTTTTTCATCGAGGCTTGTAATATACTGATGCTAGATGCTAAGCTTAGCAGGAAATGCTGAAACAAAGGTTGCTAACAGGCATGTACATAAAAGGCAAAATCATGTTGCAAATTATTTGTCTTGCCTTCCGATTGTTAGGTGATAACCTGGATGTTTTATATGCTGGTTTCTTTTTTGTGTGAAAGTGAATTCAAATTTCCAGGTATCTAAGAATATTTAAGATATGCATTGTAAATTATTTATACATATTTGAAATTCAGAGTTGCAATTCAAAATTTAACGCTCTAAATTTCAAAGTTGTCTATTATCTATCTTTGTGGGTGAGTATTACGGAGTAGTTATTTGCAATTGCTCCCACAAAGGAATAAAATTCGACAACAGCTCCCATGAGGTCATGAATCATAGGCGTTAATCTCTGGTTCCGTTCTTTGCTGCAAAGTGAATCTTATTGAGAACTTGACATCGATATCTCCGGAAAAATTACAAAGATTACAGATCTCTTTGTTGGGGCAGGGTAAATTATAGACATTGGTATAAATATAATCAATTTACAATTTACATTTTACATGAGCTTCAAAGTACAAATCCCTTGAAAATCCAAAGGTTCTTAGCACCAGTATTAGCACTTATGGAGGCTTACACTGACAATATTTCTGTAACTCCGTTTTCATTCTGTTGCAGTATCCTTAATGTTGAATGCGTTTGTTGACTATCAGCCTGATCAGCAGAGTTATTTGAAATGATACAAATATCAGGGTCCGTGTCCTTTATTAAACAGACAATCGGTGTGAAGACCACAATTGGCGTGTGAAGGTCACAATTGGCGATATCATCCAGATATACAAAATACTACACAATGACCACACAGCAAAATCTTGCTTGCATCAAAGGAGCATGGAGAGCTGACTTTAGAATCTAGATCAACAACATATTTTAATGTACAGACAAACCAAAAAGGCGGTTCTTAAATCATGAGGAACTCCAAATCACCACCTTGATTCAAGGCACAGCAAATTTCAGTAAACAAATAATGGAGTACCTGTGTTAGTGGTTTTCCAGGTAACGTAATCATAAACACTTCTTTACATGCTCTTCAGACTGCACAGCGAGCTTGCCATAATTATCAGCTTGCAACTGCAGACAAAGTTGCATCGGCGCTACAATCACCCAACCCTTTCACACTCATTTCCGAGCAGATTATTTGGACCTCTTCTATCCTTCCTCGTTCTTTGAGGCCACTTACAAGCTCATTACATTTGCTAACAGCCAAGAGAAAACCCTTATCAACCATTTCTCGGTACCAAGCATATGCCCCATCAAAATCATTCAGTTTGCAGTGTCCATCAACTAGTATAGTGTAAGTATCAGCTTTTAGAAGAATTTCTTTAGCCTTCATATCATTGATTAGGTCTAATACCTTATTCTGTTCTCCCATCCTTAAGTGGCCCAAAATCAAACTATTGTATGTCATCTTGTCAAGCTCGATTCCCTTGATTGTCATCTCATCATGCAAAGAAAGCGCCTTTTCAATGTTTCCATGCTCCACATTGGAATAAATAAGGGCATTATATACAACTCTATCAGGATTCAGGTTGAAAGCCAACATTTCTTCATAAATTTTATTTACTAGCAACAAACCTACTTTGCTGCCAACACTAATTAGTGAATGATAGGTGCTTAAGGTTGGTTTGATGCCTTTTTTCTTCATAGAATCATACAACACTATGGATTTCAAGATTTTTCCTGCTCCAACATACCCGAGAATCAGAGAATTATAAGTGATGACATCAGGAGCCAAGCCTTTTTCAATAATCTGTGGAAGAAGATCTTCAGCTTCCTGTAATTTCCCATTCTTGCATAACCCATTAACAAGAGAATTATAAGTAACCAATGTTGGCTCTACATTCTTTCGCAACATCTCATCAAATAACCCAAAGGCAGCCTGCAGCTTCCCTGCATTGCACTGACCTGCAATAATCATATTATATATCTGTGCATTGGGAGAAATTCCTCTTACCACCATATCCTCCATAATAACCTTAGCTTCAAGAAGCTTACCCTCTTTGCAAAGACTATTTATAAGAGCGCCATAAGTTACTACATCCGGTTTTAAACCACGATTCTCCATAGTTCCCAACACCTCAAAACTCTTTTCAATCATATGATTCCTACCATAACCATCAATGAGAATGTTATACGTCTCAACAGTGGGAGCAACTCCCTTTTCGCTCATATTTTCCAAACATTTCTCCGCCTCCTCCATGTTTCCCGATTCACAGAACTTCTTGATCAGAGAATTAAAAGTAACAAACGTAGGCCTCAAACCAAAAGACTCCATATTGTCCAATATAACCAACATTGTACCAGCATCACTGCACTTCGAATACCCATCAAACAAAATGGTGCAAGTAAACCCGTCTGGCACGATACCATGTGATTTCATCTCCTCTAATACCCCACCAGCTTTCTCCATTCTATGAGCCTTACTCAACCCATTTAGCAATGAATTGAAGGTAACCAAATTAGGAGCTACATTATCCACCTTCATCCTTTCCTTCAAACTAAAAGCATCCTCCAAACACCCAACCTTACAATACCCATCAATCAATGTATTATAAGTAACCTGACTCGGAACCAAATTTCTATGAAACATTTCATCAAACAATTGGTGTGCATCCTTCATCCTCTTTTCTTTACAAAACCCATTAATCAAAACATTGTAAATAAACACATTAACACCAATTCCTCTCTCCTTCATCAAATTTAACAACTCTAAACCTCTCTCAATTTCCCCAAGCTTCACAGCAGACTGTATCGCCTTCCCAAATGCAAATTTCTCGACCCAAAAACCGGAATCCAAAGCATCATCAAACAAACCAAGAGCCTTATCAAATTGATGGGTAGAAACCAAACAATCAATCAACTTATTAAAAGCATTAATGGCAGGAAAATCTCTATCTTTTCTAATAATCTGAAGTAACCCCATTGCTTCATCTGGGAGCTTAGAATCAGCACAAGCGAACAAAACTAAACTGTAAAAACAGCATTTTAGAGAAGGATTGGAGAGAGAAAATGCGGCGCAAAGCTCTAAGGGAGAAGAAAAGAGGGTTTTGGAATTGACGAGAGGTTTGATGAGTTCTTTAACTGAGTCGAATCGGGATCGAAGGATTAGAACTCGGAGTTTGCGCAACAATTCTTGCCTTTCCATGTCGTTTTGGGAGGTGGGTGAGGGTGTTATAATGGCTGTTGGAGGTTAAGAAAGGGAGGAGAGAGAAAATGAAGAGGGTGGTATTGAAGGGTTAGAGGTTAAAAATGGTGGAGGTTTGAGGAGGAGAAGACGAAGTTGTTTCACCGTTGTTGTGTTTTCTTGATGTTGGAGAAATGGACTGAGGGTTTTAGGGTGGTTTATGAGGTGGCATGGGGCGAGGTCGAATTATAATCGAATGATATTGACGGAATTTGATCTTGAATAACCTCTCGGGTTATAATCTTACTAAGCTAACTAGCGTCTATGAAGTACATCAGTCAATCAACATCATAATTTGTTTAGTTTAGTAAGAAAAATAGGTTAATGGTGGATTATAATTTGTAATATTGTAATACAAGTAGGATGTTCAACTTCTATAAAGATTGTATTTCATGATAAATGGAAAAAGTTAATAACATATTGCTTATAGATACATGGAACTTAAATCAAGCTTCGCCAAAGTTAGAAAACTTTGGGGAAAATTATCAAACCATACATACGACTCACTAGTAGCTTATCTAGCAATAAGGATAATAGATGTAATTAGCTGAACATTATTTTTTTCCACAAGGATGAACCCATTATTCTTCGTTAGTGAAGGAAAACCACCATGCATTTACATTAACTTCAAATTTCAAGCCAAACGGGCACACCAGTTTTCATAATCCAAGATTCACCTTGGATAAATTTTCTAACCATGAAGGGATCAACCTCCTTAGGATGATGCAAGACGTGATATCCGGGCCAGTTTACCCGACCTAGAGTTGTTGCCCCTGGCCCTGTGTTCATGTATTCGGCGTAATACAATGTTGAGAGGGCGAAATTCCCTTCCCAGTTTATCCAACCCCTTGGATGGATAAACCCATCAATATATGTTGTAGAAACAATTGTTCTTGAATGCTTCTTCCAAGGTCTCCCTAGGAAGGTCTTGAGAGATCGCTTTAGGTCTACAAACTCCGGTGCAGGTTGTATTCGTGACCCATGGATTGAGATCCCTGTGTTCTCATTCGGATCCTCCCTCCCTTGGGCTGTGATCATATTATTCTGGTGCTTCATAGGCTTTCTAACAAAGATGTCACAATTTTGTAACACAACAGCCGCGTTACCAAATATAAAGTCTATTGTACCATATATATGGCAGTCGCGGTAAAATTGCCTAAGAGAGTGAACATAGAGTGTGTCTTGGTATCCTAGAAAGCTGCATCGATAGAAGAGGGAGTGATCTGAAGCTACCATCAATGCCACTGCTTGATGTTTTTGGGGACCTGCCGTGTTCTCAAATGTCATGTCCTTTGCCCAAAATCCATCGCCGAATACCCCTGCTCAAGGACATTGTAACTTAATTAGACATACACGTATCACATTTATGATCTACATATAAACATCGCGTATTGTATACATGAAACAGTTTACTTACGGAATAAGAAACTTGTGTTAAAAGTACAGGATCAAATATTTTTGCAAGAGAGAAATTTGTTGTACTTACGGAATGTAGCGGAATTGACAGTGGTGCCGCCATCAACGACATTTTTTCGACCAGTGACCACAGTTTTACCAATGCCATCTCCAACAAACATGACATTAATTAGGTGCCTTGGAATTTCAACTATCTCATCATATACTCCTGCTTTTACATACACTATTACTCTGCTTTCTCCTCTGTTTTTTATCTTGTCTAATGCATCCACTGCTTTGTTGATAGTTTGGTGATTACCTGACCCGTCTCTCGCCACCACTATATCTGCCCTCGAAGTTGCCGGCTTCCAGGACATTAATCTTCCCACGAATGGTTTTCCTTTTGGCCTCCCTTGTGCCCCTACTGCACATATACTGAGTTTAAATTGCAAATTTTATTTCTTTCATTCAAAGACAATGTTAACTTAGACTACTAAAGTTTTATCATTTTACATATTCACATGCCTATTATTTAATCCCCATTCTACTAGTAAAATGATAAAAGTCATACGAAAAAAATAAAAATAAATAAATAAATAAATAATCAAAGGAATCCAAGCACTCTCACTTGGCATGATTCAAACCTCAAGCTAAGAATCTTATCAAGTGAGTCAAGCCTTACTTGGTACGTAAAATATATGACTCGTATATGCGACTAAAGGCCACTTCAAACAAAATGTCATATCAATGTTTATTGTTGTACATGCAAAAAAAAAATAAAAAAAATAAAAAAAATAAAAATTTAAAAGCTTGATTACCTTTTGATCTTCTCTGAAACCTTTGTTTCTTTGCATGAAAAGCCAATGCTTCATGTAATAACGTAGTCAAATTTTGCGATATAGGATGAAGTTCTTGACGTACACCTTTCTCTTTTAGTCCATCCAAACAAGTCCTATGGCTTGTGATTGCACCACTCAGCCATGCTAATGCGTCATCATGGCTATATTTCCCATCTCTTTCAACTAAACGATCGAGCCCTGGCTCGGCTTGATCATATAGCTTAGCACAATCGATCATAGCCATTTTCATTTTATAATAATTTTTAGAATGTTTATTATTATTTACAGAATAGACGCTATTGATATAGTTATAGTTGATGTTATTATTACTTAAACCGCCATGACGATGACCATGAACAAAGAGTAAAGTCGACTCATCCTTGCTATTGTTATAGCTTAAGCTACCATGACGGCCACCACCATGATGACTGCCTCCACGACGATGATGACGGTCTAAGAACAAAGAAGAATCACCCATGGCATTATCGGTATGGCTTAGGCCACCTTGATGACCACCACCAAACAAAGAAGAATCCTCAAGTGATGATGATTGAGCCCAATTCTTGGCTTGAAGAACCATGGTTTGAGCCATTTGAACCATCTCTAGCTCTTGTTTGGTAGATGAAGCCATTGCTAAGAAACAATTAGCCAAAAAGATAAGAGTAACAAGAGGAGACATTTTATTTTCTTAAGATCTTGTGATATGCTTTATTTTCTTTTGGCGGTAGAGATAGGTGAGTAAGGCCAGAATCAAGTTGTTATTTTGTTCTTCTATAAATAAGTGAGTTGAATTATACTACGTATATATTAAAGGTTTATGATTATGTACTTATATATAGTTACATTCATAGAATTTATGACATTAGAATTTAGAAAAGTTACACATGGAAGCATATATTAAGACAGGTGGTTGTGAATTTGTGATATGAACAAAAGATAATGTTGGACATGAAAGTGTCCAAAGAAGTCCAAATAATAAAAGCTATATAGAGTTTCATGCATAAATATAATATTGATGTCATATGGAAATTTAGTTAGGCGAAGTAGCAAATAAAATGTCATCAGTAGTATTAACATGTTTAAGCTTGATAAATATAGAAAAGATTATGCTTGATGAATAAACATGTAACATGTTCAAGTAGCTAACTTTATGTTACTTTTGCATTGTGCATGTCATCATATTCTTGTCAAGAGGACATAGGAGATGCAGGGATGGTTAGTCCCTCCATCTCCCCCCAACTGGTTGGGGGTTTGATCCTGATCCCTCTATTTCTGTGATAGGGTGAGAGACCCCCCGTATCTTACTGTATTAAAAAATATATATATATAATAAAAATAAAAATAAAAAATCATGTCAATGGTTGCAAACTCGTAAATGAATAAAAGTTTACGTTGTTATTAACCGCACGGTCCACATTTTCAACATCAATATGACCATATGAGTATCTGGACCGGACATAAGGAAGTCTAACAGTAGTAAAAGGATGTTCCTTAATAACTACCTTCTTCATAAAGCCATTACTAAATCAGTACCGTCTCTTTAAACAGACTTCTGGTTGATTAAGATAAACACATATTCGAGGTGTTTGAACACGTGGAACATAGGCGTCTTGTAACAATAGTAACTTTGTATTCTATGTATGAAAGTACAAAATTTAGCTCAGCTGGCGAAATAGAAGAATAATGACACATAATTTCCGTTGAAGAAGTTAAAATTTACATATATTTGGGGGCATCTTTTGCATGGTTTAATTTTCCGGAATATCAAGTCAAGGTTGATGATAAAAAGGTTTGCGGTTAGAGTTGGATGTTAGTTGTTATAAGGCCATGTATTATGGTTTACGCAACTGGACATACGACATTGTACTTGAACCATCAATATCACCATTTATCATTTCCATGCACCTAAACTAAATTGTCATTATCCTGATAATGTTTTTATATAATAAGCTCTATATTTATTACAATGTCACTCTTATTACCTTGGACTACTTAGTACTCTAATGTTGAAATTTGAAAACCATATTGGATTGTTAAAATTGTTTTTTAGGATTTGGTTAACAAAACTCGTAAATAATGTTTATAATTCTTGTATAATCAATTGTTATAACTTACTTCGTATTAGCAATGAAGTTATTAGAATTAAGGTGTATAATTGTTTGGAGGGGTAAATAGCAAGGTCTCGAATAATCTTCTTGAAGTTTTTTGCAAAGGTTATCCCTTGAAGTCCATTGAATTCTTCAAGGATGAGAAGAAACTTGTAATTATACCTGAATCTTTACTAGATCTGGTTATTGAGCGAGTAGGAACAGCCCAAACGGGTCAATAACAGGGTGCCTTATAAAGGGCTAACAGGGTGCCTTAATTTGCTTTCAGTTCAAGGATGACAACATAAGAAGCATATTTCAAGTGGGGAAAAATATATAAATTGCGCTATAAGAAATTGTCTACAGGAACAAATTAATATTGAAGAACAGTTATGGAACACAAAGCAACCTCGGTCAAAATCGCGGGATTGGACTTCAATTCCGCCACACATTAAAGGGTAATTACAACTAATGTGCCCTTAAAGATTTTTAACTGTGTAGGTGACGGGGGAAAAAATCAGACACTGAATCTCAACGAACTGTCATGCTCTGCATTGCCTGTGAGGCATCCTCAGTTGCCTTGTTTGCTTGGATTGTGCTGATTACGCTTGCAATATTTCCCTAAAAAAGAAAGTTGACAAAGTAGCAAACACAAATTAATACATGATAGTTGCAGCCTAAAAAAAGAGACAAATAAGGCAATGAAGCCTTACCCTCCATGTTCCTAGCTTTGATCGAAGGTTTTCCCATTGTTGTTGCCCAAACAATCGCTCAGTGTAACGACTGCACATAGAAAGGGATCAGCAAAAAAATATAAAAATATAAAGATAAAAAGGAGATATGGTATGTTAATAAGATAAGCCACAGCAATAGGAAACTTTTCATGAACATACCTCACAATGACGACCTGATTCATCTGGTCCATCTTACAGTCGAGCAACTTGGCAGTAATGGCTTTAACAACCCAATGTTCTACCTCATTGTCATTGACCTGAATTACACAAGGCATAAATTAACAAAGGTAAAACCCAGAGTCCCAGACTGGTTAAAACCTGCTTAAGTAGGGAAGCAAACTCACGTTAAGAGTGTCCTTGATAAGAGCATATGGAATTTGCCCCGACTCACTAGAGGCAAGATCTACTAATGACATCAGCCTCATCTTTGCCAGACAATCTTCATGAACAAGACCTAAAAACACAAAAGCAGTTCAGCAATCGTCATATCTCTTCCTTGAATAACACAGAAGAAAACTAGCTTTTATTTGAAATCATCAATTGTGAGAAAATTCTATGTTACAAATGAGGTTTTGAATTTCAAAACAAAAACCTTAATCACAGCACTTGACATACATCACAACAGCCATTCAATCATCAATGACAATGTCTGTCTTATGAAAATAAGATTCTAAATTCCAGCAACATAGATCCCAATATCACATGCTCACAGCACTTCACATGCATTATTTACATTTGAAGTACGGAGCATAAAGTAAAACTCTTATGTTCTACTGAAGTAATAGTCACCCGAGGACTGTATCAAATGGGCATCAGGGAACTGCTTAAAAGAGCCCTGAAGCCTAAGAATGGCTGAAAGATGAAGGCATAAACTGAATATAGACAGAAAAATGTGCAAAATCTTTATTGTTATAAAAATTATCATCACTATTTCTAATACAGTTTGTCTCGTCAGGCTGTTGAGAAATGTAAGTTTGTATTATCCATCAAACTCTACAAAAGCATTTTGGAATACTCGGTTATTAGCACAATCATGTCAAAGTTGCTTGTAAGTAAATTTGGTTGGAGAGGGATTATTTATATATACTACATTCATTCTTTCTCTTCCTAATATAATTTAATACAAGAATCTGTTTCATAAAAGGTTAAGCTCCCAAACAGTACAAAGATCTAATGTACAAGAAATGCAATTTACCGTAGTTCTTCAGCAAGGTAGAGTTTGCTGCCTGAAATTCTATGTAAGAATCCAGCCTCTGAGTAAGGAAAATCTTTAAGAGTTGATATAGCAGTGAGTATTTAGCATCATTCTCTAGCTGTAACACTGACGGCATGTCCAGCAAATCACACTGTGACATACAAACATACAATCAAATTCTTTTTATAGTCCATCTTGTCATCCATCTTGTCAGATGAAGAGGCAGAAATTGAAATAGTAATATAAGTACTATGATAATTTGCGAAAAAAAACCCACCAAAGACTTTTAAGGCATTAACTTGAAGCCACCCCTCCTCTCCTCTCCTCCCCCACCCCTCATCCCCCTTTTCCAGAATAAGCATATTCAAGCATAAGAAACCAGCAATACAAAAAAATATTTTAACGAAGTATATCATCATCCAAGGCAATTAAAGTGACATAATTTTCATTTAATAACTGTGAACTGCACTTGAAGAGTAAGCTTTCAAAAGCAGAGCAAATGTGAGAAATATAATTTCATAGCCTCAATTCATACTCCAGCCACCACACCCAAGCCCCATTTTCAACTAATGGTGTGAACATAACTAGGACATAATAAAACAACAACAACAACAACAACAACAAAGCCTTAGTCCCAAAATGATTTGGGGTCAGCTATAAATAGGACATAATCTCAGAATAAAATACTGCTGAAGCAAAATATAAACAGCAGACATACATACCTGAAACATGTCAGGTCCTTTCACAAATTCTATGATAGCATTGGCGGCCTCCTCTTTGGCCTCACTCAAAGCTTGTTCATCCTCAGTAGAAAAAGTTGCCAAATACTTTGTGAGAAAATTGAATGATTCCTTTCCAGAGCTGCAAGTACAAAATTTTAGCTCATAATGAAATGTTTAAACAGGAATAAGACATTTATGCGGCAATGGCAAGAGGGAGGGAGGGGGGGGGGGGGGGGGGGGGGGGGGGAGGGGATAATACCTTTTACTCTCTTTCAAAACGTTGAAGATTGCAAGAAAAAGCTCTCTCTGATCTTGGATGCTAAGATTCCATTCACTCAAGAAACTGTCAATTTTCTTGATGGAAGGTGCAACATGCTCAGTAATTTTACCACTGGTAGCCAGGTTGAGGGCCTTCAAGTAAACATAGAAACGGCTGTATGCGTCTTCAAGAAGGTTATAAAGATTGAACAATCTGGAGATAAACACACTAAATTAGAAAGTCTGACCAATTTCACAAGCTAAGGGGAAAAGGAGTTGATAAAAAAGATATGTACATCTTCAGTCGCAGAGCAGGCTTCTCATTTGGTTGTTGAACAATTTTAGCAGAAATAAGTTTCACGATCTCCAAAACCTCCACAGGGTTTTCAGACTTTGTGACAAGGTTGCAAATTACGGTGTAGATGCACTCAATATCTGAGGTAAAAGGAGATTATAATTAACTCAGTACAAGAAAACATATCTTACTCAATCAAAAGGGGGTTTATTGAGATAGGGAGGGGTCAATAGCTCACTGCAATTCAAGTCAGTCAGCAGTCTCTTACAAGAATAATAGCAATCTAACTTACACGATCAAGAAGATGTCTAAAGAAGATGTTTGACTGTCACAAAAGTACTCTGTTATCTGTCTACCATAAAATCCTACCTTATACAACCTAAGTTGACAAGATCAGCAACTTTCACAAGTTTGTAAATTATTCAACTCCCAGGTCATGCATTTTAACACTGATGCCAAGCAAAATCTTCCTTGCATTGCCACAATTTGGGAAGATAACAGAAATAATAAAGAGCAAACTTTGAGCTATTACAACTAAACACATGCTAAAGTCCTTAAGATGCACATGAAGTGACTCATCCCAGGTCAACATTACCAGTTGAGCTCTAACAACTTCAATTAGAAAGAAACCTAGGAAACTAGAACTAGAGAGGGTCTTCCTCTTTGGAGCACCGTACACACACATCAGCATTCAGTAGATCAGAATTACATTCCGCTAGTACCTAACTGAATACCTGTACAACGAAAACATCTTATACCTACTTCTGACTACATCTCTGCCCTTCAAAAGCTTTGCTCATGGAAGTAAAGTGTAGTAGTGGATAGAAAACACTCAGGTAGGCAAGTGTGCTCAAATTGATCCTAGGAGTTAGATACATGTCAGACATGAGTCTGGAAGATATAAGGAGGTGTTAGATCATAGTAGTTTTTAACACGGATACAAAAAAGATTGTTTGAGGTGTTAGATACATGTCAGACATGAGTCTGGAAGATATTAGGATAATTGGAGTAAAGAAGTCTAATACTTGTATTGTAAAGCTCATAACTATCAAGAATTTGACTAACCCAAACTACATCATTCAACATAAAGATACTGAGTACTATAATCATAAAGCTAATAGAGATTCTCACTAATAAAAGAATTGAAACAACCACATTGATCAGTGATCGCAACGCAAACAACAATGCTAAGTTCTCAAATCCTCCTAAGTTAATCACCATCAATATAATCCAAACTCAACCACTACCTCACAAAACCCACAAAGTGACAAACGCCTCAAAATTCAATACTATATCACAATATACAACCAATTCGAACACAATCAATAGAAAAACTATTAACATATCAAAGTATCATGCATTCCATAATAATCCGAAAGCAAAACCGATCAAGGAATTACCTTTCTCAGCAACCTTAGAGAAAACCAAATCAGCAGAAGTAAGAATCAGCGATGCCAAATCAATCCATCTCTCCATCACCATACATTCCTGCGCCTCCTGGCATAATCTCGCAACTTGAGGCTGAGCAACCTTCAATATTTTCCCCAAATTCAACAATTCAAAACCAATTAATCAATCTAATCAAAAAAAAAAATACAAAAAACTCAGAATCAAAACCCTAATAAAAACCAAAAACATCCTAGAAAAAATCGAAAGTACCTCGGCACCGGCGTCGCCCCAAGTAAGCTCGGAAACGAAACGAACAACGGTGAGAGCTGGATCTTCCTCGGTTGTTGGAACTATGGTCGCCATTGTTGAAAGCTTTCTCACTCAGAAATTCAACAGGAGAGAGAAAGAGGGAGGAACGGCTATGGTGGAGTGAGAAAAACCCTAATTTTAGCTTCACTGCGATTCGATATTCACTTGGCTTTTCTTCCTTTCTCGAATTTTTTTTTTATTATTATTATTTTTGTTTGTTTGGGTAAAAATACTTTCTTTTTTTTTTAAAAAAAAAAAAAAAAATTAAGTTTGAAGTAGCAAAACATAGAGTCGAGTAAAAAAAACTGTAAAACATAGAGTTGGGTTGGTAACTTGGTTGTCTTGGTATGTGGAGTTGTGGACCGACTTATGGGCTTTTATGTATGGGCTTGAATTATTGAATTAGCCCAGATTACTACTTCGTATTTGCAAAAACTCCAACTTATAGGTTTTCACATTTAAGGTTTTGTTTTATTCATCTCGATCATTGTATTAAAAATATTATTTTATAATTCTTTTGAGCTTTTAATATTGTATCATGTTGATTTTTGTACCATTATTAATTGTACACGCTCTCCTTTGACTATTTATTGCGATTTAATGTAATGAATAATAATGTCATGTACTCATGTAAAATCTTGTTAAAATTATCTTGATTTATACTTTCGAAAAATCACTTTTTACAATTTTTATATATTGAGAGTTTAACATATTAACAATCATAGTTTGTGCATTAGCAAGTGAAAAAAACAACATGATGCAATATTAAAAAACGAAGGAAATATATACGGTTAAAACTTAGTCAAATCAACATCCCAACAAAGCTTCTACTAATGTATACGTACATGCATGGGGACAAAGATAACTTGGCCATCTCTATCGAATAGAGATAGGATAGCTTTCGCCGCCACCTCTAATCAAGTTCGTTAGATTTTGGTTCACAAGTTCATGTCATCAACTTCAAGTGATCAAGATAATAAGCACTACTATACTAATACAAGTATGTGTTTTGAAACTTTGAATTTGGATAATTAGATTTTTCCAATGGATTAAAGTCTTAAGGAACCATATCATTTGATCATTCAATATACTCAACTCTCAAGTTTGGCGTTGAAAACTTTAATTAGTTAGTTGGCTACAATTCCCCTTTTTTTTAATTAATTGGTTACAATTTGGTGGGATGTTTTGCGATTTCTGTTAAATAATTTGATTGGAATGGATTAGCACTTCTACTTTAATTCAGATCAGAGAAGTTAACTTGATTTTAGTCTTTAAATTTGACGTTGTATGGTACTTCTACTTTAACTAAATTTAATGAGATAAACTGACCGAATAATGTTGTATAATAGACCAAAACATAAAATTCATACAAACTTTATTAATCATTAAGTTTATAATTAAATAAACATGACCTATACATATTTGGTTTGACATTTGTTTACTGTGTGTTGTGTCAAGGGACTAGCTTAAACAATGCAAAAGCATTCATCATCAGACTAGGTGCCTAATATATTTATACATATATATCGTGTATACATTGTGCTAGACTCTTTAATAAAGTAGAGTGGTCGCGTATTCATCTATATACTCGTACAATTATACTCACATTGACTTTCTTTTATAATAATGTAGCAACTTCAATTCTTACGATTTACTGTCACCCTATACTTAGCTTGCTCGATCAAATTATCATTAGCACCACCTTTTGCTATTAATTTGAATTTCCTTTTTAAGTAAAAGAATACAAATTTCGTATTCTACGTGCTTAGAAAAACAGTGTCGTGAAAGAAAGCTAAGTTATGGACGACATTTATTTCTGAAAACGATGATTGTATAGCTTTCTATAATGTAGACCTATTTTGGGAGCAAAAAGCTTTCTATTATGATGTAAATTGAACCCGTATATGTTCATAAAATTCTATTAAAACGTGCCACATGCATAATATATTAATATTATAAATGTTATGATATATGAAATATTGAGTATATAATTTGTTGTTATTCATATTTTTGTCAAATTATGCTTGGCGTTTACGTAATCGCATGCATCGTCCTTATATTACTATACCATGTAGTTGATGAATTTTCAATAGACTGTTTCATTTAATTTTCATCATCATCATAATTTAAACAATAAAAATTGGCACATTTTTTCCTTTGTTATTCTAAGCTAGGAGTTGAACAAGGTTATTTGAGTAAATATCAATTAAGATTAAGGGTTTATTATCCCCTCGCGACTTGCTGTTATAAGCTTCAGCAAAATAAGTAAATTAATTAAGCTCAACAAAAATGAATATAGTTCAGTATCAGTTATTTAATCAACTTGACTTGATTTTAAGATTGAGTGCACCAAACAGTTATTCATCTACCTGACTTGGTTACCCACCCAAAAACCGGGTTCATTAGACAATTTGATCAATTTTAGCTTATGAATGATATATTCTAGACTTCTACATTATATACAAAGTGTAGTTCTATGGAAGAAAGAGAGACAAACATATTGATCATACTACATACTCTATAAGATATATGTAATTGCCTATGTTGAATTGAAATTGTTGATCGATTGATCATAAGAAAGAAAAAAATAAAGAAAATCTATCTACAATTGAGTGGTGAACCGTATTACGTAAGTAATTAAAGTAGACAAAAAATGGAAATGTTAATAAGTTTTCCATTACCTACTTATTTAGCTCGTCAATAATCCAATTATAAGACTATGACCTCCATCTAATTCAACTCCTACATAAATCATTATCTCATGCATGCAATATAAATACCAGCTTATACAAACCTCAAATAAATAAACCTCTCGTATATTCATCACCCAACAAAATTATGGCTTATTATTATTCTATCTTAGCAAAATTAAAAATACTTGTATTTCTCACATTTTTGTTTACTCCTGTTTTGGTTGAAGGTTATGGACCTCCTAATTTATTGTCATGGTGTAACAAAACACCATACCCTAAACAATGTATATATTACCTTACCCATAACCAATATTCTTCCACCATCAAAGGAAAATCAGATTTTCTTAAGATGATGATGCAAAGTGCCATGCAAAATGCTAAAAAAGCTCATCAAAATGCACACTCTATAGGACATAGCTGTAAGAATAAGAGAGAAAAGGCGGCGTTGAAGGATTGTTTGGAGTTGTACGAGATGAGTGTTCAACATCTAAACCAGACTATGAACACCCCTAGTTGCACCCGAGTTGATGCTCAGGCATGGCTCAGTTCAGCCCTAACCCTTTTCCAAACATGCCAAAATGGGTTCAGTGACTTGGGTGTTACCAAAAATATTATGCCCATGATGTTCAATGCTAATGTTTCATGCTTGATTAGAAATGCACTTGCTATTAATAATCGTGGATCGGTTAGTAAGGTTGGAGGGCATACTTGGGATGAGCCAATCAAGGATGAGTTCCCGGACTGGGTTAGGCCTGGTGACCGGAAGTTGTTGCAGTCGTCGAGAACTCAAGCAAACCTTGTGGTGGCCCGAGATGGGTCAGGGGATTATAAGACCGTAGGGCAAGCAATAAGTGCTGCCTCAAGGAGAAAAGGGAGTGGGAGGTTTGTGATTCATATAAAGGCAGGAACTTATAAGGAGAATTTGGAAGTAGGAAGTAAGTTGAAGAATATTATGTTTTTAGGTGATGGAATTGGGAAGACTATTATCACTGGGAGCAAAAGTGTTGGAGGTGGTTCCACTACATATAGATCAGCTACTGTTGGTAAGTTAAATTTAATTTAATTATGTCTTTGAAAATAGGGTTTATATTAGATCAAACATGTAGACCAATCTTTAGCTTAATGCATGTCCATTATAAATATAATGTTAATAAAATGGAAAACAAGTGCAGATTAATTATGATTATTTCTCCTCCGTCCTAAACATTATATTCAATATTTAATGCAATTTTTATTATTATTATCATTATCACTACACTGACAAGATACTGTATACAATCAGCTTTAATTTAATTTTGCCTATGCGTCTAAATTATCTAATGTCAAATTCATAAAAAAAAAGGTTATCCATATGATTTGGCGTGACTTAGCTTTCCACGTACAAGACCTGCTATGTAAAACGGCAAACGATAGATGCTCAACAATAATATACGAGTAACATAATTTATTCTTGATTTATTATTATTATTATATCACACCTAGCTAGCTAGTTCGTTCTCATAATCAACATAATTTGTATGAAGAACAATTTTCTATCTAGATTGGTAGTTTTCAAAACTCCAATAACATCAAGTCTTTCAACGTAAGAAAAGAGAGAATATCTTATATCAACATCTCCTTTTATTGATCATGGATATGTTCATCTTTGTTTTATTATCCTTAATTATGTTTATACTTTACTAAGGTAACGTAGCACGAAATTGTATGTCTAAAACAAAATGTTTCTATAAATGGAATGATATTTGGTTAATCAGTAATTGCTTTAAGATTATGTTCGAAAGAAATGTGAACCACTAACTTAAGTTTTAACGGTTTGAGATAAGTATATAGTAACTTTTAGCTTTAGCTTACCTAATTAATACTAAATTACTAAGTTAACATAAAAGCGAACTAAAAGTAAAACGACATAAAATACAACAAAGAAAAATGTAAGCTAATGTTTTCAGAAAGTTATGTGATTATCCTACTTATTGGTATTTGGTAGCTTATGAAGTTGAAAGTGATCAAAGCCAGAAACTGCTTATCTGAGGAGCTAATGAAATACGTGATGATGAATGTTTAATTGATGTATCAATCATTCAATCCTAGAAGTTTAGAAATTAAAATCAATCCTTGAAGTTTAAAAATGGATCCTATGGTTCATTTTGGGTCAAATTAAAATCAATCTTGTGTACTAGTAAGAGTAAATCAAACTTAATTAATTAAATTCGAGTATTGAGTCTTTTCACTCTAAAGCTAAAAAAGATAAAATCAAACATTTTTACAAAGTACTATATTTGTTCGTTGCTTGAAGGACTTGTTTGTATTATAAATGTGAAATTTAATTATGTAACAATAATCTTTGACACATAAATGAATAATAATTCTATGTTTTTAATTCTGATCTCATGATATACCGAGTAATTTATAACCCGAGTATATATCATTTGAACAATAATTTATCTTCTAAGTCTACAATGCTTACGTATGTATAATATCATTGAATAATTATTTTATAGCGATGCAACAATATTGTTACTTTGGTCTTCATTTTTTCAGCCGTAGTAGGTAGTGGTTTCATGGCACAAGGAATTACTTTTCAGAACACGGCCGGTCCATCAAACCACCAAGCTGTAGCGCTCCGGTCGAACTCGGACCTATCGGTCTTCTACAAATGTAGCTTTGAAGGATACCAAGACACCCTTTACGTGCACTCAAACCGCCAATTTTACCGTGAATGTAACATTTATGGTACAGTAGACTTTATATTTGGTAACGCGGCTGTGGTGATCCAAAACTGTAACATTTATACCCGATATCCACCCGCTGGGACCAACACGATCACGGCCCAAGGCCGGACTGACCCGAATGAAAACACGGGTATATCGATCCATAATTCTCGGGTCAGCCCGGCTGAAGACCAAAAAGGGTCTAAGACATACTTGGGCCGGCCTTGGCGCAAATATTCTAGGACTGTTTTTATGAAGACATATTTGAGCAATATAGTTGATCCAAAAGGATGGCTAGAGTGGGATGGCAGTTTTGCCCTTAGCACTCTATACTATGGTGAGTATGCTAATACGGGTCCTGGGTCATCGACATCGAATCGGGTTAACTGGCCGGGTTACCATGTGATAACAAGTGCTTCCGAGGCTAGGAAGTTTAGTGTTGAAAATTTTATTGCTGGTGATTCTTGGTTGTCTAATACTGGTGTGCCTTTTACGTCTGGGCTTTAGGCAAATTGCACGAGTCATAGATTTATAGCATATGATAATTCATTAGCACAGTTGTAAGGACTTGTAACAAATAAAGAGTTGTATTACTTGTATACACGGATTACATCAAAATAATTTGTATAAATTAGAAAACGTGTCACATGTATGATTTTCTTCTCATAAGCTAGTCGCATAAAAAAATTCACTATGTATTGAATAGATTGTATCATACTCCGTATCAAATTAAAATTTGACGTAATAATATAAATTGCACCTCTTTAGAGTTTCAATTTTAAAGTTAAGGATTCAATTCCCACTCAAGCCAAGTTGACTTGTACAATTACTTATATTGCAAGAATAATAATTAAAAAAAGCAAAGGACTGGATTCCTTGTTTAAATTGCTAACGCTTGAAAGATTGAAGAGAATCACTGTTGCTGCCCTTAGCTTTTAAGGAGGTAAGGGAATATAATCTAACTTTATACCAGCTGAAGACTGAAATGTGGACTTTGTTAAATTAAATATGTCAACAGCATATAGTATCCCATTTTCTTGCCAAATCAATTTTAGTTGTTAATTATAAAATTTATTACACAATAAAGAACTACTCCGTATAATATTAATTTTGATATTAAAATATATATAGTTTAAAGATTAGAATTGAATTAAATAATGAATTGATCAAGCAATTAGCTTCTTTTAATTTGAAAATTTGCATCAAGATAAAATTCAACAAAATGCAAATTAATAGAAAAAACTAAACAAATTTATTTGCCACCGGGAGCTGATTTCCGACAAACGGATAGAAGAACGATCAAAATTGCGATTCCTCCGATGATTCCGACAATAATAGCTACTGTTTTTGCAACTTCATCATCGTGCGACGCTTCTATACATCCATGGAGACAAGGGACGGAAAATTATAATTAGTCTTAATAAATTTAAGTAATCATACAACAACTTATATGAGTAATTGAAACAAAATGTGACAATTAATTTCATGAGTAATTGAAACAAAATGTGACAAGTAATTTCAAATGCCAAATGGGGTTCGAGTTGGAGTGTGCAACGATCAACACATTTACATTATTAAAATAGAACTCTATGCCCCTAAAAAAGCTGAAGCGTGCTAAAACTGGCTCAAGACCACTACTGATCCTAAATTTATATGAACAAAACTCTAAAGGTGCGACATACAATATATACATTTTACAAGATAATGTCATCAATTATGATACATACTATGAAGAGTAATTTAATCATTAGATCATCACACAAAAAAAAAAAGGTAAAAATATTCTAAGGGAGTGTTTGATATAGGGATTTTATAGGGATGGAAACGGAATCATATTAGCGTTTCCGTTACATTGTGTTTGGTTACGGACTAAAGTAACACAAACCGTTAGTTAGGGGTAACCCAATCCACCCAATTGTTTCCCCTGTAATAGGTGAGGAAACAAATCCCCTTTCCTTCCTCTAACACAAAAAATAAAGAAAATTCTTGTCTCTCCTCTTCACTTGCTTGATAATTCTTTGAAAATTCCCAAAAAATTTCGACGATTCTACGAGGAAGATGCAATTCTCCAGATCTTACTCCTAAATTTTCGATTTTCTTCTGCAAATCTTCAGAAATTATCACAGGTTTGCTATCTTCATTTCTCTCATTCAATTTCTAGGGTCCATGTAGTATCAATTTTTGCGTTTTTGGTATGAATTTATTACTTGTGTGTTCAATTGCAACTTCAGAAAGTTGTTTTCGTTCAATTTCTAGGGTTCATGTAGTATCAATTTTTGCGTTTTTTGGTATGAATTTATAACTTGCGTGTTCAATTGCAATCTTAGAAAGTTGTTTTTGTTTGATTTTTGATTGTATTATTATAATTACTTCAAGTTTCAGCTACGAATGTTATTGTTTTAAGCTTCAATTCATTTGAAATTATTTAACAAACATTGGAGTTTTGTATAATTTCTTCATTTGGTAATTATATCTATGTTATGAATGTAATAGATTATTGGTGGTGCTGAACATGTCTTATTTTGCTCCATATGTATGCATTACGATGAGAAAGTTGCTGCTACTATTTTGAGTATATAGACCATGGTTTTCTGGTGCTATACATGTCTTATTTTGCTCCATATGTGTATGCATTACAGTGAGAAAGTTACTGCTACTATTTTGAGTATATAGACCATGGTTTTTTGCTTAATTTTGCTTGTTTCTTGAGTAGTTTACTCCTCATGATTTGGTTGACAATATTTGTTATTTGATTAACTAGAGATTGATATAACTATTGTTTTGCCATTTATCAGGTTCAATTGCCATTTATTTTCTGTGTTTCTTGTACAATGCCTCGACTTATGCATTCTATAAGGAAGAAAAATCTAAAACAAATACAAATAGTAATTGCAATGGTTATTATTATGTTGATGATGTATTGGATGTGGTATATAATTAGCGTTGTTACAATAAGGGGGGTTCAAATAAAAGATAGGAAAAGAAACAAAAAATTGTTACGGATGTTAGTATTGAGAGGGCTTTATAGGAGAGTGATGTGAAATGCAAGAGTGAGCTTCGCGTTAATAGAAAAACTTTCAATATTATTTGTGAGATGCTTAGAGACATTGGGGGTTTGAGTGGAACAAAAAACATGTCGCTTCAAGAGATAGTAGCCATGTTTTTATACACGTTGGCTCATCATAAGAAGAATAGGTCTATTGGACATTACTTCTATAGAAGTGGAGAAACCGTGAGCCGGCAATTTCACCTTTGTCTAAGGGCTTTTCTCAAGTTGCATGAAGTACTACTTTACAATCCCACACAAATATTGGATGATTGTGAAGATGAAAGGTGGAAATCCTTCAAGGTATTGATATTTTCAAAGCCCCTAAATTTTGCTAGGATTTTCTTATTTTTGCTTGTTTGTAAGTAATATTTTTTCCTATTTTTGTAGAATTGTTTAGGGGCATTAGATGGGACTTACATTAATGTAAATGTGCCTTCAAAAGAACGACCAAAGTATAGAACAAGAAAAGGAACGATTGCTATGAATGTATTGGGTGTTTGTGCACCTAATATGCAATTTATTTATGTTCTTCCTGGTTGGGAAGACTCGGCCCATGATATGCGTGTACTTCGAAATGCTCTTTCTAGACCAAACGGTTTTAGAGTACCTTGAGGTAAGTGAAGGCCTTTTTTGTGAGTGTATATGTTTTATTAGTTTTGGTTGGAAGTAATTATTTTTTTTCAATAACTTTGAAGGTAATTATTATTTGGCTGATGCGGGGTATACGAATTGTGAGGGTTTTCTTGCTCCATATAGAGGTCAAAGATACCATTTAAAAGAATGTTTTATTAGTGTGTTTTTATGTATTGTTGTAATCCCATCATTCTCAATTCAAGATTAGTTAATCCTATTATGTTGTTTTGATTGTAAAGTTTGGTGTACATTGATCTTGTATTGAAACATAAGGCTTCATTGGTCTAGATTTACTATTAGGATTTTGTCTTGGACATTATATTTTCTAGTTTTCATTGATTTGTACTAGTGTGCTTCATTGCCTTCATGGTTATAGGCTAGGAAATTTTGTTAAGGCACTTTAATACTGATGCATCTTAGGCACTCCAGCCTCTTTTGACACAATTGATGGATCTTTGGGTGCTAATTAAATTTATGTACCTTTTAAATCTATTGTTGAAAAAAAAAACTCATTAATCTCATAATCTCGATAATTTTACTCTTAAGTCTTGACATCTCATAACCTCTACTAGTCTGCTTGTTATCCTTTCAGTCTTTATTGCATCTGTACCACTACCTTTTTTATGGTGTTATGTTTTTGTATGTTAACATTTTCAATGGTGATTGTTAAATGATGTCTTTATTTTAAAAAAATCAGCATTAGGTCAGTAGTAGCTTCAATTGATTTTTGGTTTTTTATTTTTTGTTTTTAATTTTTCAGATGGAGGCTAGTCAAGCTAAGGGTGAGGCAAGCAATCGAGGTAGAGGTAAAAATAAAAGGTATTGGACGTATGAAGCTCAGCATCTTCTATCAAGCTCCAATTAATATGAAGAAACAATATGCAATTGATCTTCTTAAGAAGAAGTAGAAAGTTTTGTCCTAAGTTGTTGTTATTGGAGTTAATGTTTTAATGGTTTTTAAATGCTTTTTTTTTTATTATTATTATTATTTTTTTTAGAATACTAGAATTTCAATGCTTTTGTAGTCAACAACTTATGTGACTTTGCCTATATATCTAGCATATGATATATTATGGTAATCGGTTCAAAAAATATATATATGTATATTATGGTAATTAGTGTTGCTCTACATTGTATAATGTATATCAAAAGTTAGCCAAGACATCAAAAATTAGAAGGAAAACTATTTGTTTCCAAGTTATCTATGCCAAACAAGAGGAAAGGGATTGATTCCAATTATTTACGTTTCCTTAGTAATACCAAACAACTAGTAAGGGTAACACTATATATTACCCTTTCCCCTTCTAATTTGTTTCCATTCCCTTACATTTACTAATTTGATACCAAACACCCCCTAATTGTAAAAGAAAAAAGAACTAAATACATTCTAATGTAGGACATAAAAATATTCTCTTGTCTGATGGTAGCAACTTTGGTGCTATTATATGTTATAAGTGGATAAACACCTTTAGTCACCTTTTAGATTAGTCCCCTAAAACAAGTGGTTTGGTGCATGGAAAGAAGAGCTTGCATTATAAGTATAGTTTACTATTATTTGAAAGGAACCGAATATGAAGTATTTTGGAACAACCTAACATAAATGTGACACCTTATTATTTAGGGACGTTGAGATAATAATTATTGAGTTGTTGGTATAGTTGATAATCGTGGTTCATTGTACGCTTGTGCTTGGACAAGTAATATAAATGCGTGGCCTAATTAAGATTATATTCTCCCACCCGTCAAAAAAAAAAAAAAAAAAAAAAAAAAAAAAAAATTGATTATATTCTCCCATACATTACAAATGGTCAAAATTATTGATGCAAATTTATGTTGAAATGAACCGTATTAATTTTTTTAAAATTACGTTAGTAAAAAATCATTCACATCCACAAAGATGCTATACTAAAGATGACCAAATTATGAAGTACAATTACGTCTCATACTAATTATCTTTCAATCCTATAATAGTTCTCCACAATTGAATTTTAAAGAAAATGAAAAAAAAAATAGTTTTTGATAGGTTTACCGTATAATCAATGTAGTCTTTCATCCTATAAAACTTTTAGAAAATGATGTTATTTAGATTAAAATTTTAAAATATCAAAGTCTTCAGTAGAGTAGTCTATTATATTGAAACTATCCGTCAAAAAAACATGGATTTTGGCTCATTAATTTGAAGCAGATGGAGTAATATCATTGATCTTAAATGGTGATGCTTCCTACTTGACGTATACTAAGCGTTTTGTACTCTTTTTTCTTGGGCAAGTAATATGAGTGTATGGCCAAATTAAGAACCCACGCACCATACATATTTAAAAGACTGGCCACAATTATTGCTAGAAATATTGAAATAAATTAAAGGTACCATACTAATGGTTTAAATTAATCTAGACAAAGATCATTATTATCATCCACATTCATGCTAAAGTAATGATAACCAAATCAAAAAGTACATGAATTACGATCAAAAACTAAAGGAATAATCAATTAAGAATAAAATTTGAAGGCGATAAGACAAATTAGATTAATTATAATCCAAGGAAAGGGCACTATCAAAGCAAGAGACTGAAGGTGACCAAATTAAAAAGAAATAAATAAAGTGGTATCAAAATATGCTTTGATACTTTTACTTTATAGAAAAAGTATTATGATTAGTTTTTGACCATTTATATTTTCAGTCTTTCAAATTTTTAACTTAATGTATATCTTCGATCTCTAGCTTGTTCTTGGTCACTAGATTTAGTCACTATACACTATGAAATGTAATCAGGTAGTGGGAAGATGGTTCTAGAAATATTCCATCCTAGATAATCTTTACATCATGAATGCCAACTTTTATACAAAATATTAGCATGAAACATAATGACCTTTATCAATTGATGTATGCAATTATTTGTCCATTATTATATGTAGTGTTTAATTTAAGTGTTTGAATTTGTGAACTATTGTAGGGTTTTGATTGTATTTCATGACAAAATGTTCGAAAGTACATACTATACATACGGAGAAATCTTAGATGAACAATGATTCTTCTAAACTTGTTCGATTCTAAAAGGCATTACCAGCAAGGTGATATTAATGTCCTATATTAAAAAGAAAATATTTGCTTGCTTGTTTCAGCTGTTAATTTTTTTACAGAGTATATATTAAACTTTAAATTTATGGACAACTTATTAGTTCTAAAATTCAAGCAGCCAAGAAACACATAATTAAGAAAGTTATTGCTATGTAATTTATAACTATCACATCAATTGTAATTCCCCAATAAAAAGTTGCATGAATGTATAATTACTTAGAGAGGAATTTGCAAGTTAAAATGAAAGTGAAAAAAGTACGTTACTCTCATTCTCGTTTTAAAATTAAAGGTCTAAAGTTGACTTAGTACTCATTTTCAAGTATGAGTAGCAAAATGAATGAAACTAAAAGTAAAAGTAATCACATGAGTGTTCTAAAAAGTCTACTTTGTCCCTTCAATTTAATCTGAAGAAAAATATTTATACATTATAACATGTGTCAATATAAGCGTAATTAATCATAATAAACCACAAATAACAAGATGATCTAGAATCATCTTAGAATTAAATTGTGAAAACTAACAACATTCCAAACACTCCAAGCAAAAAATATGCAATAATATTTAATAATCTAATTAAGTAGTGCAAATCATAGTAATAAGTTACCTGAATTATGAGTGGATAAATCATAGTAACCAGCTTCCCAATACTCAGCATAACACTTAGCCAAGAAAACATGAGCAGCAGCAGCTTGACCACAAAGTGTTTTCAACTCTTTAACAGCCTCATTCAAACAATTTGAACAATCATTAGAGTTCAAATCTCCTAAGCACTGCCCAAACCCTTGTACCGAACCCAAACTCGAAACCCTAAACCCATTCACCGCCCCTTGTATAGTGGCTAAAACATCCTCTCTTCTACGAAAAAACTCAGCATCATCACTCGAGCTCCGGCTACACCTCTTGTACATGACCGTATTGTCGGGTTTTCCTAGGAAGTCGAACTTCTCATATCGTACATAACACCCCTCAAGTTGTAGGGTAGCACCATAGGAGTAAGGGCATATTAGGCCTATTTGAGTGACTGCACTTTGGATGCAACTTGTACAATCTGAAGGTCTTAAGTCACCCCTACATTGGTATAGGCCGTAAATCGTGGAGTCGGAGGAGGTGCTAGGGGAAGAGTCTCCTGGGGTGAAGGTGTTGTAGAGGCCGGTTTGCGATGAGGAGGTGACAACCGAGGTTAGGAAGGTGTTGATGGTGGATTCAAAAGACGACGAGGGTTGGAACTTTTCTTGAGAACAACCGGCATAGATGAAGACATAGGAATTTGTATAGGAGAAGTAAGAAAGTAGGAAAATGAGGAAGAGAAGAAGAGTAGCATGGTTAGTTTGGTTGATAATGATGAACATTTTTTTTAGTGTTGTTATTTTTTGTTGTTGAAATTCTCTACTTTTGAATGTTGTTTTGTGATGATTCATAAATGCATTTTTGAAAGAGGGTGGGAAGGGAATTGATGCCTTAGCTTAGCTTTTGGTGGGATAGCTTAAGTTGCCTTTTTGTTATTCTTTGGTGATAAATTTAAAACAATTGGTAATAGTTTATTGAGTTTAATTAGGATGAACTAATGTTTAATAAGATTTGAAGTACTATTTTGTTTTTACTTGACAAACTGGGTTAATTATTGGCACAAGTTATACACGACTATGAGTTTAATTTCCATGGACCCTTGGTTCATGAATCACCGGTAGTTTTTGGTATGGGAAGAGCCGTAGAAAAACGTAAATTATGTAAATGAGATTTGGTTACAAGTCTTAGACAAAGTAATAATTTTTATAAGCTATATATTATGAGAGTGAGGGATAACTCAAGTGATTAGAACTCTCCTCCCGATTTTAGGTGATCCTGTGATCGATTCGCCTTTGTGAATTGATAATAAGTGGTGTACTATTTTAAATTAAATTTTGAAAAAAAATTATTATATACTCATATCAAGTTTTGTAACAATTGTCATTTAAAATGGTCAACTAAGTAAAGTTTGGCTTAATATATAGATAAGATAATATGGAGTATCTTCTAACTTCAAGGTTGAGTATTCAACCCTAACTAGGAGCACTTTAGGTGACGGAACTTCTTACCCTTCCTTCCCATCCCAAGTCATCACTTCTAAAATAGTAAAATTTCTATCCCGTTAATTTGGACCGTGTTGTCCAGTGAGGAGTTTAGACTCACGAGGAAGAAGCTCTTATAACTTGTTTATCAAATGGCAAAATTGTAAATAAATCAGCAATTTTGTGCAGTTTACATAGCAATTCGGTAAATAAATCAACTATGGGTCCTATATTTGACAAAATGTTATTGATTTATTTACATTTTTGCAAAAAAAAACTTGTATTTTCTCTACACTCAATATGATCTTTTATCTTACAAAACAAAAAAAAAACAAAAAAAAAAAAAAAAAAAAAAAAAAAAAAAAAACTTTAAAATTGTGGACTGTGGACACATCATATTGGACGTAGATATTACTATTGGACTCTATGGACCTAAAAGGACCGAAGTCCTTAAAAGAATACCACTCCGACAATAAAAAGGGGGGTACGATCCTACGACAGCCCGTATGAGGATAATCTCACTCACAATTTCACAAGACACTATCTGATTTAGGAAAAACTTGTGTGGACCTGGTTCACAATCTAATATCATATCACTAAGGGGTCGTTTGGTTTGCAGAGGGTAATCGGAATGGAATGCAGAAAGGAAATGGAGGAGAATGGAATGAAACACTAAGCATGTTGTTTGTTTACATAAAAAAAAGAATGGGAATCAAACCACCATTGCACCACCACATCACCACCACAACACCTATCCTTCATTTTTTCCACCTTCTCCAGCCACCCCACCGCCCAACCAACAGCCACCCCCAGAACCCAGACCTCCAGGAACCCAAATTCAAACCCACGCCACCACCAAGACGAAACCCACCGATAGCCACCACGGCGACCCCCTTCACAAACGTAGCCCCCCGCCGACCATCTCTTTCCTTCGAACTCCCACCTTGACCTCGTCAAGAGCAACGACGATTCTTGTGGGAATGGCGAGGTGTGCTGGAGGTGGTGTTCATTGACGTGTGTGGTGTGGGTGTGGGGATGGAGTGGTGGGTGCGGTGATTTTTGAAGGACGAGTGAGGTGGTGGGTCAGTTTTCTGGTGGTTTTGGGGAAAGGGAGGTAGGATGGGTGGGTTCTCTAGTGGTTTAAGGGTAAGGGAGATGGGATTTTTGGTGGTTTCCGGGAGGAGGGGAAAGGGAGGGCATTGATGGTGGTGGTTGGTGGTCAGTGAAGGGCTGGGGTTGATGGGGTGATCGGCGAAGGGCGGCGAGGTTCCGGCGAGGTGAAGTGAGTTCCGGCGAAGTGAGTTCCGGCAAGGTGCATCCAATTGATAAGGTATGGTGGTGGACTGGTGGTTGGGGAATGGGAATGCAAAAGGTAGGGGGGTGGGGAATGGGTTAAGGAGATTTTTGGGTAAACCCAAAAATAAAATGGGGGAATGGGAATGACAAATAAGTGAAAACAAACACTAACAAAGGGAATCATTCCCATTCCCTTTCCCCATTTCAGCGAACCAAACGACCCCTAATAAATAAAGTCGGTCGACACTTGGCATTTCAGTTTTCGCCAAGTGTCGCGCCACATAGGAGATAAATAGGTATTATTGTGACACATATGATGCTAAGTAAGCGATTTTTGGATTTATTTTTAAGATAAAATTATTGTATAGTGTCTTATTATCAATAGAATTCTAATATTTCATATATATAAAACTAGATGGAAGCCCGTGCGATGCACGGTTTTTTCATCTAAGATTTTTAATTATTTGATTTATTGTATTTAATAATTTCAGACAAATAAATTGTAAAATTGATATTTTTTCCATTATATAAAATCTTTAATATGAAATGATAAACTTTTAATAATTTAAATCCTAAATCATTATTCATTGTTTTACCATATCTTTTATTTTGATAGATTCACCAACCTCGTCCACAACCAACCTACTACATCAATGGATAAATTGAACCGTGAAATGTTAGCCAAACTGAGGTTGATATAAATTAAATCTTTATATTTATATAAAATAAATCAATATATTTACCAATAAATGAAAAATTGCTGCGATATAAAATCAAATCTATGCATTGGAATTTTTTCATCATCTCCAAAAATAACCAAAGCCATCCATATATTAAGTATACAACATCTAATCGTATGCCATTACATAAACAAATAATCGTTAAGTATCATAAATAAATACAATGTAACTAATAATTACAAATATAAATTTAAACATAAGATTTTAAAAATTACCAGGACATTGATGACCTAAACTAACACAAAATTCGCTTGATGGGGTTTTGTATTGATACGGAATTTTATTTGTATCGTATGATGTGGTAGATCTGCATGTAAAAAAACGTTTAGTAAATAAAACATAAACACATAATCGTTAAGTATCCCAAATTAATACAATGTAAGTTATAATAAGAAATACTAATTTAAACATAGGATTTTAAAAATTAAGCTAAAAATTACCCGGCCATTGATGACCAAAAACTAATACAAAATTACTAACACAAAATTCGCTTTTTTATTGATAGGGTTTTTTTATTGATACGAAATTTTGTTTATGTCGCATGATGTGTCAATTTATAATGGTAGGTGTCACAAATTTTAATTTAATTATAATTAACGAACAATTTGTATTTCTTATCATAAATACTATCAAAATGTATCTTATAATGATAGGTATCAAACTTTATTATAAGCGTTTATCATTTAAATATTTCTTAGTATATTTTTTTTTGGATTTCTTATACTCGTAGCATTGAATTAATAAATTTATCTTTTCCTATATTTTTACTTTATTTTTTTTCATTAAAATAACTTAATTCGTGGATTATAATCTACGTGGCATTAAAATTTTAGATATATCAAATCTAATTCGTTACTTTTATCTAGGTGGCGACATAATTTTTTAATTCAAAAATAAAATACAAATCTTTCTTCTTATTGGTCGAAATAAGTATATTTCTTACGTGGCGCTCCAAATTAAATGCTCTCCAAAAATGTCTACTTTATTTATTATATATATTAGATTAATCATAACGTTTAATAAATATCCTATAACTCAATTCTATTTCTATCATCAAATTCGTTTAAAAAAATTCTTTAAAATAAGATCCATTTATAACATATTTTATAACAAACTTTTATACGTAACTGGCCAAACTATGTCACCAACTATTACAAGAGTTACTTCGTTAGTGCTATAGGGGTTACTTGATCAATGTTATAATAGTTAGTCAATCAATGTTATAGATAGGGGTTACTTAGTCAGTGTTAGAGGTTACTCAGTTGATACTATAGGGGTTACTCGGTCAGTTTTATAGGGGTTACTTTGTCCGACTAGATGGTGTGGCTAGCTGCATACAAAATGCATTGTTATTTAATTTATTTTAAAAACTATTAGAGAATCAGTAAAAATAAGTTTTAATCAGTAAAATTAATTTTCAGTAAAAATAATTTAGGTTCAATAAAAATAATTTCAAGTAAATAATAAACATAGATATCTATCTACAAACAAAACTACAAAAAGTATTATTATATAAATATAAGCCATATGATATAGTATGTCTAAATATCCTACATTATCAGAACGAATTATTTGACCGTATTTAGCATTTAAGTAAAAATGTTATCTTAAAATTTTATCAACCATTTGGGCATCGCCCGGGCACAAAACTAGTATATTACATATATAAATAGGAGTTTTTTCCTGAGTTTTTAGAGAGCCACATAGGATTAAATTTTATTAACACGTCATGTAGGACTATAAATGTTAGTTATAGCCAATTAAATAAGAGATTTGTAAATTATTTTAGAATTAAATAATTCAAATGCCACATAAGCAAAATTGGCGAATGAGATTTTAAAGTTTAAATTAATTAAATATAAATTATTATCTTTTGAGATAAGGAATTTTATCTAAATATATAACAAAGAAAAGGAAATTTATATTTTATCGTAAAATAAAAATATTAATTGATATACTATGTACAACAAATAAAATTTGTTTTAAAAATAAAATAAACCATGCATTGCACGGGCTTCATCTAGTAGTAATATTATTGTGGATCTGAGGATCATAAGCCCGTAACTGACGTTATATTGAATACAGTGACCCCTAATTTTAAAATAGTAACCTTATTTTTAACATAGTAACCTTTATTAAAAATTGTGTGAACTTTAATAATATTGTGAACCTGAAATATAGCGTTATGTTGAACATAGTGACCCTAATTTTAACATAGTGACCTTTATTATTTATATTGACCGTTATATAAAAAAAAATTTGAAAAAAAAACCCCTCTATTTTAACATAGTGAACTTTATAAATTTTATTAATAAAACAAACATAGTATTTCTAATATTACGTTCACATAAATTAGTGTGAACCAGGTCTATTTAAGAGTTTATATATGGGTTAATTAAATGTAGTATTCCGTACTTATTATTTTACTGTATTAAGCAATAACCAATATTGTTCTTGTCTTAAATTCCTTTTTTTGACCATCAAAATCTGATTTTGTGTTATTAATCTGTTTTGTAAATAATATTTTATACCATATGGAACACATGCATGTAACCTTTTTATATATATATATATTTTATTTTTATTTTTATT